GGATAGCAAACTTGCGTGCCCATGTGCCCTGAGCAACACCGTCACGGATGGAGGCCGACACCGTCACGGCTAGAGGCCGCGCTCGGGGACCACCCCTTGCGCACCCCTTATGGTGTCAAGAAAGTGCCACGCCTGCTATGCCTGGACGACTGGCACGGATAGCGGCCGCGCTCAGGGACCACCCCCTGCGCACCCCTTTATGGTGTCAAGAAAGTGCCACGCCTGCTATGCCTTGGCGACTGGCACGGATAGCGGCCGCGCTCAGGGACCACCCCCTGCGCACCCCCTATGGTGCGAAAAGTGCCACGTCCTGCTATGCCTGGACGACTGGCACGGATAGAGGCCGCGCTCAGGGACCACCCCCTGCGCACCCCCTTATGGTGTCGAGAAAGTGCCACGCCTGCTGGACGACTGGCACGGATAGCGGCCGCGCTCAGGGACCACCCCCTGCGCACCCCCTATGGTGTCGAGAAAGTGCCACGCCTGCTATGCCTGGACGACTGGCACGGATAGCGGCCGCGCTCAGGGACCACCCCCTGCGCACCCCCTATGGTGTCGAGAAAGTGCCACGCCTGCTATGCCAGGACGACTGGCACGGATAGCGGCCGCGCTCAGGGACCACCCCCTGCGCACCCCCTATGGTGTCGAGAAAGTGCCACGCCTGCTAGCCTGGACGACTGGCACGGATAGCGGCCGCGCTCAGGGACCACCCCTGCGCACCCCCTATGGTGTATGGTGAAAGTGAAAGCCACGCCTGGACTGGCACGGATAGCGGCCGCGCTCAGGGACCACCCTTTGCGCAGCCATTATGGTGCCGAGAAAGTGCCACGCCTGCAATGCTTAGACGACTGGCACGGATAGCGGCCGCGCTCAGGGACCACCCCCTGCGCACCCCCTATGGTGTCTAGAAAGTGCCACGACTGCTACGCCAGGACGACTGGCACGGATAGCGGCCGCGCTCAGGGACCACCCCCTGCGCACCCCTTATGGTGTCGAGAAAGTGCCACGCCTGCTATGCCTGGACGACTGGCACGAATAGCGGCCGCCCCCCCTCTCGTGTCGATGAACTACCACGCCTGCCGCGCTTTGCGAGCGCGCGACGGAGCTGAGCTGAGCTGTGCTGAGCAGCTCTGTGTTGTGCTGCGTTGCGCTGTGTTGTGAAGTGTGCTACGCGTGTCTCATGTACGTGCCGCTGCGCTCTCCGACCCTGGCGCGCATAGAGACCGCGCTGAGGGGCCACCCCCTGCGCACCCTCTCTGGTGTCGAAACATGCGGGGGAAACCAGAACCCCACCAAGCATGCGGGGAAGAAAACCATAGCCCCACTAAGCATGCGGGGAACAGGAGAAGGGGAGGGGGGAGGTATGAGACGCGGGTGCGGCGCGGCAGGGGAGAACACCAGAACTCCACGAAACATGTGGGGAAAAAACAGAACCCCACGAAACATGTGGGGAATGACCAACAGAGAGACGTCAACAGACATGCACACACACACCACCAACCCCAGCGCGCCCCCTGTGGTGTCGAGGATGTGCCACGCCTGCCACGCTTTGCGAGCCAGAAACGGATAGCGACCCCACCCCCAGCGCGCCCCCCTGCGGTGTCGAGGATGCGCCACGCCTGTCACGTTTTGCGAGCCCGAAACGGACAGCGACCCCACCCCCAGCGCGCCCCCTGTGGTGTCGAGGATGTGCCACGCCTGCCACGCGTTGCGAGCCCGAAACGGATAGCGACCCCACCCCCAGCGCGCCCCCTGTGGTGTCGAGGATGTGCCACGCCTGCCACGCTTTGCGAGCCCGCAACGGATAGCGATCCCACCCCCAGCGCGCCCCCCTTGTGGTGTCGAGGATTTGCCACGCCTGCCACGCTTTGCGAGCCCGGAACGGATCGCAACCCCACCCCCAGCGCGCCCCCTGTGGTTTCGAGGATGTGCAACGCCTGCCACGCTTTGCGAGCCCGAAACGGATAACGACCCCACCCCCAGCGCGCCCCCTGTGGTTTCGAGGATGTGCAACGCCTGCCACGCTTTGCGAGCCCGAAACGGATAGTGACCCCACCCCCAGCGCGCCCACCTGTGGTGTCGAGGATGTTCCACGCCTGCCACGCTTTGCGAGCCCGAAACGGATAGCGACCCCACCCCCAGCGCGCCTTCTGTGGTGTCGAGGATGTGCCACGCCTGCCACGCCTTGTGAGCCCGAAACGGATAGCGACCCCACCCCGAGCGCGCCCCCTGTGGTGTCGAGGATGTGCCACGCTTGCCACGCTTTGCGAGCCCGCAACGGATAGCGACCCCACCCCCAGCGCGCCCCCTGCGGTGTCGAAGATGTGCCACGCTTGCCACGCTTTGCGAGCCCGAAACGGATAACGACCCCACCCCCAGCGCGCCCCCTGTGGTTTCGAGGATGTGCAACGCCTGCCACGCTTTGCGAGCCCGAAACGGATAGCGACCCCACCTCCAGCGCGCCCCCTGCGGTGTCAAGGATGTGCCACGCCTGCCACGCTGTTCTCTGCTGTGCTGTGCTGTGCTGAGCTGAGCTGTGCTCTGCTGAATTGTGAGGAAGCAAGCGGAGGAGGGGAGGAGGGAGGAGGGGAGGAGTAGGTGAGACGCGGGTGCGGCGCGGCAGGGGAAAAAAACATAACCCCACGAAGCATGTGGGGAATAAACGAGTCATCGGGACGACAAGCCGGCCCGGGGAAGTGGTAGCTTAGCTTGGGCACTGTTGTCTCGAAAAAAACAAGCGACTGGAAGCCTGGCATCGAGGAGTCGAGCATCCTGAGTCCTCAATCTTTCAGGTGGCTAGGGGAGTAACAGGGGGGGTGGCGAGAGGATCGAGGAGATCGAGGGCCCAGGCTTTTTGGGGCGTTTTGGTTGGGGTGGTCTTCTGATTTCCGACGGTGTCCTTGAGGCTTCCAGAGGCCTCCGAGGACTCTGGCCGAGTTATGGAAGGTTCTGGGGAGCTCTGTGGTCCTATCTTTGCGAGCTTGGTGGTTAGACATGGGGCCCTCGTCAAGGTGTAGAATAAGAGGCAGACTAAACTGGAATGGACGCGCCTGAATTAGCCTGGTTGGGAACATGTTGCATACATCATGTGAAAAAGCAATGGGCCACGAGCTTGTTATCACAAGGTGCTTGTAAAGATTGGTGGCCCCCTGCAGTCGTAAATTGTTATGCCGAGGATAGTTTGCGTCCTTGCCTTTTCTGGTTCGTCCTGAGCCAATGTCGTTGGCCAGTTGCTGCCACTCTTAACGCTTCGCGTACCCCCACCAGCTTCCTCGGCGGAGCAGCTCAGCTGGCTCGCACACGCCGTTGGCGCGGCTGGGCTTGGCGCCCCACTGGCGACGGCCCATCGCTTACCACGTCTGAACACTCCGACGGCATGCTGGACGCGCCGCCCACAGCTATCGTCCTCATGCTCCTTCGGATTTTGCCACTCGGCACCTCCTGAATTCACCAGCATTCTGCCGTGTTGCAAGTGATCGAGCATGCTGGACGCCCCCAGCCTGCAGCTCCTCCCGCGCAGTCAGCCGCTGCTGTATGAGTGGGCCGGCCGGCTTGCGGCGCGTCCAGCTGCTAATCAGGCCGCTGTCGTGACCCGTAGCGCTCCTGACTCCGCATGCGCCTTCGCTTGCGGACGCGACCGAAAAAGTATCCCCACCAGCAAACCCAGACACGATGCCCAGCGGCGCTTCCCTGAACTCTTAGAAGTCTTTTGGGGTGTATTGGGGCTTCTGACCAGCTCTTGAGAGACCTCTTGAAGAGTCTTGGAAACCCCTGGGGGGCCGCTTTGGGGCATGCTGGGGGCCTCTTGGGGTGCTCTTGGGCGCTTCTTGGGCGCCTCTTAGAGCCCTCTTAGGGCTCGGGTCTGGCCTGCCGTCTTGGGGCCGTCTTGGAGGCTATCGATCAGAGAAGGGGGACCTTAATTAGCACTGCCTTCAAATGCCCAAAATGATCCAAAACCTTCGAATAATCACTGTGCTTCGCCTTCTCGCTGAGGCCTTCTTGGACGCTCTGGCCGCTTGCGAAGCCCCCTCGTCCAGACCCAGAGGGAGGAGGTTAGATAGGGGGGGGTCAAGTTCCTAGCTACATAAGTCGCATCCGAGTCTCAGCATAGGCAGGGGCCGGCATGGACAACAACCATTGGGAACCAGTGCGGACGCCAGCCAGGTGCGCCATGCGCGCCAGATGCGCCACATTGGGATCGATGTCGACCCTCCGCACCATCCCTGTCAAGAGCCATTGCAAAGAGTGACGGCGGGTTTGCCAGCATTGTGTAGTGTATGTGTGGGTGTGCACCCGCAATCATTTTGCATGTGTTTCTGACAGGGATGGTGGGCCTGCACACACCAGGCAATAATTATGCCGCTGCCGCCCCCCCGCTGTTCCTGGCAAAGTGCATTCAGTTGGAATGAATGGTGGGTTTGCACACAGCAGGCAATATGTCGCCCACTCAGGCGTCCCTGTCTAAAACCACTGCGAAGTGATCGCGGGCCGTCCGCGCATGATCCAGAGTTCGTTGCAAAACGATATTTGTATTACCTCTTGCAAAGGATGGTTGTGGGGGGGATCGGCATTGCACACAGCAGACAATATGCCGACCCCCCCGCCGCACTTGTCAAAAACCATACGAAGCCATCGCGGGGCGCCCTCGCATGATCCAGATTCTCGCGCAACGTAAATGTTGGATTGTTTTTTGCAAGGAGTGGTTGGGGGGAAAAGGGTTATACCGCCGCCCCCTGGGGCATGGCTCGCAGACTAGTCCTTGGAGGTTTTCACATAGCCTCTTATTCGCTTGCATTTCGTCCTTCGTCCCCTCTCTTTCGTTGTGTTCTCTCTCTCTCTCTCTTTCTCTCTCTCTCTCTCTCTCTTTTCTCTCTCTCTCTCTCTCTCTCTTTCTCTCTTCTTTTCTTTATAAGGCGAGCTCTCTCTCCTTCTCTCTATTTCTTTGATTCCGCGGGGGCCCTAGCGCCCTCGTGCCCCGTCCGCCCTCTCGCCGCCAGCAGGAACCTGGCAAAAAGGCTGTCAAAACAAACAAAAACAAAGCAAAACAGCACCTGAGGAAAACAACTAAACTTACACCTGAGCTTTTACATGTTGATCCGCTCCCGATTGCTGGAAAATGAGATTCCGTTATTGTGTTGCTTGTTTTTTCTTGGTTATATCTAGGTTGTTTATAGGTGTTTGTTTTTGTGTTGTTTGGTTTTGCCTTTTCGTCGGCTCCCATGGCGGCGACAGGGTGGACGGGGCGCAGGCGCGAGAGCGAGCAAAAGGGCAAAACAAACAAACAGGCAGAACCAAACAGCAACCTTTAGCAACATGCAGGAAAGCAATCAAAAAGCAACGGACACCGGTGTCTGTATATATTCCGTTGCCCCCGATTGCAGGGGAATTCGTTTGAAACAACGACAACAACAACAGCAACAACAACAACAGACGTTCGGTTGTTGTTGTTGGTGGTGGTTGTGGTGGTGGGGGGGTTGTTGTTCTCGGTGTTCCTTTGGTGTTTGCCTGGCGAGGTACCCAACTTTTGCGCAACGCGTGGCCAGAACAGCGGGGTACACTTAATAGGGGGTGATAGCGTGGCAAGGAGGTATACGTTCTGCGAACGTTACTTGGGAGGCTCGCGAGCTGCGCGACTCGCAGGACACCGTTCGATAGACAAAGGCGTGATGGAGGTGATTAGAAAGGTCCCTGGGCTTGGGAGGGGAAGAGGGGCGAGGACTAAGAGGAGAAGGCGGGCAGGGAGCTTGAAACGTCAGCGGGGCACCAGCAAGAGGACATGGCAGCAGCAAGGCAATAAGTGACGACGAGAAAGGGGAAAGGAAGGAGGGAGACGATGTTTCGAGGCACGTCAGCACTCAGCTACAATATATGCAAGGACCGCGCGACGCCGAGCTGCTCTGCCAGCTGCTGGGCTTCTCCCCGACCTTCTTCAGCGCGGGAGGTAAAGGCACGCAGGCGCGCCGCGATGTCCGCGGGCGGCCATCGAAAGCGGCGACAGTTTCGCAGTCCGCAGCCCTCTAGCGACGACGCTCTGACCTGCGCAAGGCGCATTTCCGCTGGACCCCCCAGCAGCCTTCGAGAGTGGCAAAAGCGTCGCGGTTCGCTGCCACGCACACGAACACAAACACACACACACACACACACACACACACACACAACACTCCACCCAGCGACGGCGAGGTTCCGCACTGATCTGCGTACGACGTAACTCCGCTAGACCCCCAGCAGCCCTCGCATTTCGCGGCCCCCCAGCGGCGGCAAGATCCCGCTCTGTAAAGGGCCCGACTTATGGCCTGGGGAGGCCTGTCCAAAGAATAATCGAAACGACCGCCCCCAAACCAGCCCAGGGAACCCTGCCCGACGGCTGGGCACACTACCGGGCACTCTGCCCAGCATGGTGTAATCCTTGAGTTGAATTTTGCATCGAATGCTGCGCTCGGCCCTCCGATGGAAGAACCGCGCAACACAACGGCCAACGCTGCAATGCCCGCGACGTCGACCAGCCTCCATGGAGACGCCGCGCGCCCCAATTGGACCGCGCGGAGGGGTGCATATGAAGTGGCTGCTTACCGCGCCAAACGCATGAGAGCGGCCGCGCAACCCGCGCGCTCGCCGATCGCCGGGGGCCAACTGGCCCTTCTCTGTCTACGCACAGAGGAAACTGAAATTAAGAATGCACATGAGCATTGCGCTCGGAACTCGCACCCAGCCGGGGCGCCGCGTAATCCGTTGGCGCCCTCAGCTCCCTCTCTAACCTGCGTAACGCGTAATCCCGTTGGCACCCGCAGCTCCCGAAAGTGGCGACAGCTTCGCAGTTCGAAGCCCCCCAGCGACGGCGAGGTCCCGCTCTGATGTGCGTGAGACGTAACTCCGCTGGGCCCCCAAGCAGCCTTCGAAAGCGGCGATAACTGCGCAGTTCGCAGACCCCCAGGCGACGGCGGGGTCCCGCCTTGATTTGGAATTGCGTAGAACGCACATCCGACGGACTCCCCAGCAGCCCCCGAAAGCAGCGACAATTTCGCAGTTCACAGCCCCCCAGCGACGGTGAGGTCCTGCTCTCATTTGCGTAAGGCGTAACCCCGTTGGACCCCCAAGCAACCTTCGATAGCCGCGACAGCATCGTAGTCCGCAGCCCCCCAAGCGACGGCGAGGTCGGAGGCAAGTACGAGAGAGGTACGAGAGAAGAGGCGAGAGATAGAGAGAGAGAGAGAGGAAGGAGGGAAGCGGGAGGAGCGCGAGGAGCAAAGGGAAGGACGCGACCATAGTGCTCTATTCAAAGCGAGAACCCATCAACTGAGGGCTTGTAAGTATGAAAATCTATGGGAAACCAATAAATTCAAGCAGCACAAGTAACGAAATCGTGTACTGCATAGGTTCCCTTGCAATCGGGGGCGGGTAAGCATATAGACACAAAAAGGTTCAGGTGTTTCAGGGAGCCAGAGACGGGGTAACAGCAGACGGGGTAACAGGAAACTGCCGGTTCGAGGCATCAAATGGCCCTTTTGTTGCAGTGCAGTTGTTTGTTGTTGTCGCGTTCGATACAGCACCTTCCACATGCTGGATGCGTCGCACATGTTCGGCTGCTGCACTGGAACTTTTTGTTTTGGGCCCTCTGTTACCCGGTCTGTGGGGCTTGTTTGCAGTTGTTCCGCAATTAGTTGCCAACATATTGCAGTTCAGTTTTTTCGCGCTGCAGAAAATGCAGTGCATTTGATGTTCTGGTCGTTGCAGTTTCTCCACCTGGATCCCATGGTGGGTCTGTTACCCCGTTTAGGCGTTACCCGGTTTAGTGTTCCCTGAGTGTTGGTGTTATTGTTTCCCTTGGAGCCCTGTAGATGTTCATTATTGTGTTGGCTTCTCGGATAAGGAAAGCAATCACCAGAAGAGGCGAACGAACAATGAGAACCCGAGGGAAATCAGGAAACAACAAACAAGCAACAGAAACTGTGAAACCTTGTTTTTGCGCATGCTCGCTTGCTATCGAGTCTAGGAGAACATCTAAAACGCATGGCTCCGTTGTTTGATTGCGTTGATTGTTATCAGTGTGTTTATGGTGTGTTGGCGGGGGAGCGGACGGGGCCCGATGGCGAGACCAAACGTAAAAAAACAAAGCAAAAGACCAACAAACCATGAAACTTCGTAGAACACCAAAAATCTAAGACAACGGAGCAAACTGTGTGTGTGTGTTACAGTCGCCCGTGTTCCCGAGTGCCGGAATACGTATAAAAAAACACATGTTTATTTGTGGTGTGGTTTGTTGTTTCTCGTGTTCTTTAGGCCTTCAGTGCTTGATTGTCTTGTTTGTGTTGTTGTGTGTTTGTCGTTGTTTCTCTTGGCGGCGGGCGGGCGGACAGGGCACGGAAGGGGCGAGACCAAACGACATTTTCAAACAACTAAATCTTCGCGAGGACCCAGCGACATGGAGTTGTGAGTACCGTCGTTGCTGGTATCGCCTTCGGGGGATCTCCTTGGGCCCTGAAACATGCGAAGAATGTGCCGATGTGGGGTGGGGCCGCCATGTGGGCGCTGCCGCTGCCAATGGGACTTTACGCGGAAGCGACTACGGGGCCGCGAAGCGTGTGAAGGTTGCACCGCACTAGGGCGGGGCCGCCATTGGGACCTTCGGCGGAGCTCCTTGTGAGGCCACAAACGCTGCCTTGGGCAGGGAAAACGCATGCGAGTGCAGCCACTTGGGCCTTCGGTGAGGCGTCTTATAGGGCCACGAAACACTGTACCAGGTTGGGGAGCCGCCTATGGGCACCGCCACTGAGGCCTTCGGTGGAGCTCCCTATGGGGCCACGAAGCGTTGTACAGCGTTGTGGAAACGCATGCGAGCGCATCCACTGGGCACTTCTGTGGAGCTCCATATGGGGTCACGAAGCGTTATACTGGGTGGGGGAACCGCATGCGAGCGCAGCTACTGAGGCCGTTGGTAGAACTCCCGACGGGGCCACGAAACGTTGTAATGGGTGAGAGAGACGCATGCGAACACCGCCATTTAGGGCCTTCGGTGGAGCTCCCTGAGGGGCCACGAAACGCTGTGTTGAATGAGGGAACCGCATGCGAGTGCAGCCACTGAGGCCTTCGGTGGAGCTCCCCATGAGGCCACGAAGCGCTGCATTGGGCGAGCGGTCCCGCACGCGAGTGCAGCCACTGGGGCCTTCTGTGGGGTTCCCCATAGGGCCACGCAACGCTGTACTGGGCGGGGGCGCCGCTCGCGAGTGCAGTCATTTGAGCTTTCGGTGGAGCTCCATATGGGGCCACGAAACGCTGCACAGGGCGGGGGTCCCGCTTGCGACTGCAGCCATTGGGGCCCTCGGTGGAGCTCCCTATGGGGCCACGATGCGCTGTACTTACAAGGTTGGGGTCCCGCATGCGAAAGCATCCACTGGGGCCTTCGGTGGAGCTCCTTATGGAGTCACGAAGCGTTATGCTGGGTGGGGGAACCGCATGCCAGCGCAGCTACTGAGGCCGTCGGTGGAACTCCCGACGGGGCCACGAAGCGCAGTATTGAGTAGGGGAGACGCATACTGATAAGGGCAGAAGCAAGGAGGGGGAGGAGGAGAGGAGAGGAGACGCGGGGCGCTGTCTCTTCAAAACGAGGACACAAACACAGGTTGGTTGAGAAATGAAGCATGAATGCAACCCTAAGGGAAACCAATAATAGCTTAGCGAAGGACCAATCCATATGCAGTTGTGAGTCCCGCCACTGTGGGTATCGTCTTCGGTGGAGCACCCGATGGGGCCACGAAACGGTGTACTGGGCGGTGGGGGCGCATGCGGCCGGTAGCACTGGGGCCTTCGGTGGAGCTGCTCATGGGCCACGAATCGCTGTATTGGGTGGGGCCGAACTTTGCCACTGGGGCCTTCGGTGGAGCTCCCTATGCGGCAACGAAACACTGTACTGGGTGGGAGACGCATGCGGACCGTTCCACTGGGGCCTTCGGTGGAGCTTTTTATGGGCCACGAAACGTTGCACTGGGTGGGGGGAACGCATGTGGACTTTGCCACTGGGACATTCGGTGGAGCTCCCTGTGGGGCCGCGAAGCGCTGAGCTGGACGCATGCGGACTTTGCCGCTGAGGCCTTCGGTGGAGCTCCCTATGAGGCCGCGAGACGCTGTGCTGGGTGGGTAAGACGCATGTGGACTGTGCCATTGGGGCCTTCGGTGGAACTTCCCATGGAGCCACGACGCGCTGTACAGGGTGGGGGAACCGCGCGCGGTCGGTTCCACTGGGGCTTTCGGTGGAGCTCACTACGGGGCCACGAAACGCTGCACTGGGTGGGGAGACGCATGCGGAAAGTGCCACTGAGGCCCTCGGTGGAGCTCCCTATAGGGCCACGAAACGGTCTACTGGGTAGGGGAAATGCATGCGGACGGTGCCATTGGCGCCGCCGGCGGAGCTCCTTGTGGGGCAACGAAACCTTGTATTGGCTGGAGGACGCATGCGGGCGGTAGCACTGGGACCTTCGGTGGAGCCCCCGATGGGGCCACGAAACGCCGTATTGGGTAGGAGGGACGCATGCGGGCGGTGACGCTGAGGGCCAGCGCTGGGGCCAGGCGACTCGCTGGCCGACCTCTGGGAGAGGGGGGGGGGAGAAAGGGAGGAGGGGAAAGAATAAGGGGAGGAGAAGGAGGGGGGGGAATCTTGACTCCGCTGCAGTGCTCACTCCTTCTGGATCACTTCAGGCATCATGACACACCCCCTGTGGATGATCACATCAGGCATATAACATTCAGGTACGAATCAGAGACAGCACGCGGTCTGTCGCAAGGAGGATCACTTCTTCTTGTTACCCGCGAGCTGCCTCGCCGACCCCCCAGCGTGGCGCAGAAACTCCGCGATGATCTGAACCAGGGGGAGGAATGTGTCCGCCTCCTTCATGAAACGGTAGGCAGCTCGAGCGGGCTCGCCTGGAACTCGTGAAGATTCCCGGCCGCGAGCGCCTCTACCTGATGCTTTGCCACCGCGTCCTCCTCTTGAAGGCCCCTGGGTACGAAAATGGCCCCCTGCAAGTCTAACAGGATCCTGCTACGCGGGTCCTTCCCCGGGCGCTCGTAGCAAGGAAGGGCAAGAGCCTCCTTGATCCACCCGCTGAGCTCCACCGGGTTGGACGTTTCCATCATGATCTTGATCCAGCCTAGAATACTGACGAACAGCTGCGTGCGCGGGGAGGCGTCCCGATAGTTGTAGCTCTCTAAAGCGCACACTATCGCGAAAGTATTCTGGACAGCCAGGCCCGCCATGTCTTTCTCGGTGTAGGTTCTGCGATCTTGCAAGTAGTCGGCGCACGCCTCGGTCATGGCCTTGATCACAGGGTGTTCTTTGGGCGTGATGATCGTCATGAACGCGCCGTTCTCGAGGGCCTGGACCCGTGCTTCGAGCTGCACCATCAAGTGGTCCCTCACCACGCCGGTGTCCTCGACCTCGTGTTTCGGCACCTTGGCAGCGCCTTGGGTTCCTCCTTCCACCAGCATTCTCTCGCTCCTCGGCCGCACGAAGTGCGCCATGCAAGATACGAAACCTTGGAGGTAGTACAGTATGGAGATGATCAGCACAGTGCTCGTGCGAAATCTCTAAGCTGTCACAAGATATTTGGCAGATCTTGCAAAACAGCGTCCTTGGACGAACGATAGCACTCCCGAGCCGCGTGCGACCTCTTGGACAATGGCCCCAGTGAATGGACGCCAACACATGAGTTGCGCCGTCTTGCGATCACGAAACGCACATTTGTAGGCGTCGCCACCCTTCCCAAATGAAGCATGCCATGCGTTCCCCCAACTGTGGAAGCAAGGTGGGACTGCAACTGCTGACGGGTATCCCACACGGCCCCGCACACAGAGCCATCTGCCCGAAGTGCTATGCATACGAACTGACCCGCGACAGCGTGGGAGTTCTTGAACTCTTGCCCTCCGCATTTCAGCTCCGTGGGATCCATACGCAGGAAATCGCCCCAGAGCTAGTTCAAAAGCGAGAGGAAATTCCCCCCCGTCTGCTCACGAAGGACCTCCCCGGATTCCAGAACACGACGAGCATCGACATCTTGTTGCCACTGCAGTGCTTCGGGGGTTGCAGTAGGCGCCACCCTTCCACCCTCCTCGAATATCTCCTCCCCTTCTCGGAACCTCGGAACCTCCCAAACACACGGCAGAAGTTGAACGGATTCGTCTGGATGCGATACAACGTGCTGCAACCATTTGAGGCGCCGGATCCGGAGCTCCACATAGAAGTTGTCGATGCCGATTTTACGATAGAGTTGATGGTTAGTAAGCGTGCGCGCGCGTGCTCCATCCCAAGACGTCGCCCTCCCTTGTTGTAAAATCCTCATGCGGTTAGTTACGCAGGAGTCTAATCCATGAAAATATGTTGGAAGAACCTGTCTTTTGCCCGCCGTCACTTTCAGCTTCCAGACCCCGGATACGTCCCCAAAAACGAAAACATGCTGCCTCATCTAATTTTAGGATAAAGCTAACCGACCATCGAGCTCCGAGGTAGCGAGGATTATGTAACGTTTTGCCGGCCACGGCGGAGTCAGCCGGACGACGAAACGTTGTACTGGGTGGGGGGGACGTCTGCGGGCGGTGGCAATGGGGCCTTCGGTGGAGCTCCCTCTCGGGCCACGAAGCGTTGCACTGGGTGGGGGGGGGCGCACGCGGGCGGCGGCACTGGGGCCTTCGGTGGAGCTCCCTAGGGGACCGCAAGACGCGCGAGGGGCGCAAGGGGTGGGAGGCAGGAGGAGGGAAAAAGGAAGGAGGGAGGAACGAGGAACGCTTTTTGTGTTTTCATCAAAACGAGGACCCAACACCACAGGATGGTTGTGAAGCATAAGCAACCAAAACCACGGACCCCTGTGCCTTGATACGTTCTTTTGCTCATTGTGTGGTTGATGTGTGGTGTTTGCCTTCTCGTCAGCCCCCCTGGCAATGAGAGGGCAGATGGTGCCCAGGGGCGAGGCCAAGCGAACAAGCAAACAAACAACCGAAACCTATGGGACATCAAGAAAAAGAAAAGACAACGTAACCATGTGTTTGTCACAGGTACCCCTGCAATTGCGAACGCGTAAACATATAAAACCAAGGTGTCTGATGCTTTTTGGCTGTTTGTGATTACTGTTGCCCTTTAGGTGTTTATTGTGTTTGCGTGATCTCCTATCCAAAAAGATGCTCAAACCAAAAAAAAAAATGTTGCCACCCACCCCACCCCTTGGGGGCGGCGAGAAGGCGGACAACACCGTCTGTGATCAATTTTTCTAGTCTTGATGTGGTTTCTTCTTCCACCATCTCTGTTTTCTTCTCTTTCTCTTTCTCTCTCTCTCTCTCTCCTTCTCCCTCCCCCTCTTTCCTATTATCTTTGCAAGCGTCCACGGTAGCCTCCCGCCACTACGGGTCCTGAAGGGGTTCTGGATGGATGCCGCCACTGTCAGCGAGGTACCGCCATGCCCAAGACGGGCGCAGGTTTCGCTTTACCCTACAGGTGAGACTCGGGCGGTTGCGAGGCAGGCGTCGCAGTACACCCTTGCTCATGTTGAGGGGCCTCTCTCTCTCTCTCTCCGTCGCGCTCCCTCTTTCTCTCCTCTCCCTGTTCCCTTCTCTCTCCCTCTCGCGCTTTCCTTTTTTCTGTTTTTTTGTTTTTTTGTCTCTCTCTCTCTCTCTCTATCCCTCTATTTCTTTATTTAATCGCTTCGTTCATTCGGCCGGCCCTGGAACGCTATTTGGGGCCTCTTGGGGCCGTCTTGGGGGCTTCTTGGGAGCGTCTTGGGGCTCCTTGGCGGCGTATTGGGCTCCCCTGGGGCCTTTTGGGGGGCTCTTGGAGGCCCCTTGGGGCGGGAGGGGGGGGGAGTCGTTGGCAGCCCCCCCCTCGGAGGCCACGATCCTCGTGAGGGGGTGCGAAAAGTAGCCTCCCCCCTGGGGATCGCCCAGGGGTCAGCCGGGGATCGGCCGGGGTACTTGTCGTCCGGGGCCCCCCAGGGGCCGCCCCGCGCGCGCGAACTAGAAATATTGTTAAGTAGTTACCGGAAATCTTAGCACGCCTTTGGCCCGTTGGGCCGGCGAATTTCTCTCTCTCTCTCTCTTTCTCTATCTCTCTCTCTCTCTCTCTTTCTCTTTCTCTCTTTGTCTTTCTCTCTTTGTCTCGCCCATGTCGTGGCAGCAGTTGATGCATAAAGGAATTGCGGCCAATGCTTGATACAGAGGAAACAGCAACAGGACAAACAGGAAAACGACAGCGGAACACACTCAGAAAAGAGAGTCGGGAAAACGGGGAAACATGAGCGGGATAATCGGGAAACGAAGATCCACATAATCGGGGAATTGCAACGCCAAAGTGGGAGAAGGAGGAGGAAGAAGAGGAGCAGGAGGAGGAGGAGGAGGAGGAAACGCCGCAGGATTTGGCTGGATGGGCCAAGAAGAGTTCACCTCTCACTGTGCGCCACCAGGAACGGGAGCTGCTCAGGGCCGCGTTGCGTTTCTTCGTCCAAAGCCCGCCAAAGATCTCGCCAAAGTTGCGCCTGGCAGCGCGTGCGAATCCGCGCGTCGACGTCGGCCGTTTGTTTCCTAGCGCGAAAATTTCGCGCAAGAAGCCAGCGGCTGCTACGACGCCGCGCCGCCTGCGCAAGCGGCTTGCCTCCACCGCGTGTCCTGGAGCGGCCCCAGTGTGTGGATCAGAAACTGGAGCTTGCTCGCAGTATTGTTTTATCGCGCGTTCTTCGCCCATGGATAAATTACTCGACTTCGTTATCCAGGGACTGACGCTTACTTGCGTTCGCGTGTACTGTCATGTGGTGAAGCGCCCATTTGCTTAGTTTCACCGTGCCCGCTCCGCAACGAAATACCGCAGACCCAAGGTTCATATGATCCCAAACTGTGGTGGCATAGCTGCAACACGGTCTGGCCTAGGAGTCGAAGTCGATTTCCATGTTCACGGAGAAAGCCCAAGGTCCAGGAATCACAGTTGGAGTCTAACAAGGTTTCACTATCGTTGGGAATTCAGCAGAGACTGCATCCCGAGAGCCCGAAGGGGACCCCTAAAGCAATTCAAATCGGAACGGCACATATCCAGATGCAAGAAATCCCAGTAATTCCAATCGAGTTCCAGTTAGCCAGTAGCAGGTCCCAGACCCAGAGATCCGAATAGAGTGTGACATTGCAACAACATCCCACGTTCCAGAGGGGCGGAGATACAACATCCAGGGGGGGAGGGGCAGCGGCCCGTGTTTGTCGGCGGGCGGAGGAGGGGGCGTTTACTCAGGAAGAACGGTGATGAGATTTTCCCCGGAAGAGAAGAGCGTTGGAAGAGGAATCAGCATGCACCACATACGCCCTAAAGAGCCGATGGGATTTGGATCTTCACGGGCCTCGTATCCGCGCCTTAGCATTGGGGATCTTCACGAGTGTCCCGGATTGTACTTGGACGAGCCGCGTTCGCACAAAGTTATGTCTTAGGCCTCGGCGGGAAGGGCAGATTGACTTCTGCTGACGCGACGAGGAGTATGGGTCAAGTGAGGAAGGGCGCAGCAGTCCACCGTGGTCGGAGTTTCGATTGTTGAATGGTCGCAGCCGTAATGCCAGCTGCTGCACGCAGTGAGGCACCATGTGCGCGTTGATTCCGCAGTTTTTCAGTTTTCCAGGCGGAGGAAAGCGTATCTGACAAAGAGATATCACGTTTGCAATCGCGCATGCGTCCCGCCAGATGTGGAAACATGGAACGCAGAGAGGAAGAGGGAGAGAGAGAGAGAGAAAGAAAGAAAGGAGGACAGACAGGCAGACGGACAGACAGACAGACACACACACACACATACACACAGACACACAGGCAGGCAGGCAGACAGACAGACAGACAAACAGAGACAGCGAAAGATGGACATTCTGACAAGCACGCAGGCAGACAGACAGACAGAGGGCCACCCGTTGGGGCTGAAATACATTGAGTCGGAAGATCGCGATACGTCGCCGGCGCGTTGGTGATGCATCGAGCCCGATGCATCGGCCAAGCGGTACGATCCTTCACTTGCACTTGGGCGACGTGGGGCGTTCCAGAAAGGGCGTCGCCTTCGAGGGATCGAGAATTTGTCGTCCCTTCCTTGGCGGAAGACGGCGGAAGTGTAATTGTGGCGGCTCCGCCAGCGGAAGCCAGCGGATTGTCTGATCGACCCTTAGAAAGATGCAAGTTCTTTTGGATTAAAGTTCTCCGGCGCGAGCGAGAAAGGGTTCGGCCGCGTAGACGTTCGCACGCGAGCTGCCAGCGTGAGGTCGCGCATGGGCGCCCTCCTCTCCACGCGGTGTGCCGCGCCAGCGGCTCACGTGGGCCACCGCGTGAGGACGCCGCGTCCTCTCACGCAAGACCCTGTTGATTTCGCCGCTCGCCCACCCTGGCCCCACTTGGGGGGGCGGCCTCCTGTTCGCCTGCGCCTAGGAGTGGCCCTTCGCGGGGGTGACGCTTGGCGCCAGGAGTTTGGAGGACGCGGGAGTGCCAAGCCCAAGCGCACACGCCGCCGCTGATGTCGCATCGCACGCAGCGATCGGCAAGCCGCACACCTCCGGGCGTGTCGCCGACTGGCGTGCGTACCACAGCCTTCCGACCACCAGCCGCCTGAGTTCGCCCCGGCGGTTCTTCCGCGAAGCTGGCGTCGCCGATGCATCGACCCCCAGATCCGATGTCGCGAAATGTTGAGACATCGTGAAAAGTTACGACCGAATTCCTGGACCCCATCTTCCTGCATTATGTTTCTCACCGGATCGATCTGTGAGGAGCGTGGGGCCCGAAATTGGGCGGAAATGCCCAGTTCGAAAAATTGAGACGACAGGATCGTAGGGATCGCTGGCGTCGCTAGCGCATCGCCGATGCATCGGCGGTGAGGTGCGGTGCGGCCCCTCCAGGCCTCCAGCCGAGCCCGCCCCCGCGAGGTCGGACGGGGCAGGGACCAGGACATATCCTTCCAGAGCGCTCCAGAACGTTCTCAGAGCGCTCCGACCCGCATCGCATGCGTGTCGATGCAGAAAGTGGCATGGAGAGGATGCGGCCCATCTTCTCCATGTCACTTCCAGCATTCCGAGAAGTTGTCGAAGCCTTCTCCGAAGACAGAGGCGATGTCATGGAAGGCCAGCGGGCTTCTGAGAAGCCTCGACGCCTTGTGAGAAGGCCTGTCCCCTCTCACTTCCCGCCTCGGCGCGCCGCTGAGATGTTGGGGCGCCACGATGACATCGCCGCTCGCCTCTTCGTCGAGCGCTGTTCTCCCCTGACCGTGCCTGCGTCTTCACAGACATCGTCCGCCACCGCGCCTCCTGGCACGCTGGGGCGCGGCAGGGTGCCAAGCACAGTATGGTAGCGTCGACGTTGAAGTTTTTAGAAACCCCTCGGTACCCGCCCTCTTCGTCTTCGACGGATAGAAGGGGGAGGGAGAAGTATGCATCACGGGTTTAGCAGGAGGGGGGTTAGGAACAGAAAAGACATGCGACGTCCTGATTTTTCAGCACGGGGTCCCAAAAAGTCCCGACCCGTTCACCTGGGCCGGTTTTTCGTCCCGAGTCGTTTGTCGCATGTCTTGGGGCCCGGCGACGGCCCCTGAAGGCCTTCTCTCTCTCTCTCTCTCTCTCTCTCTCTTTCTCTCTATATATATATATACATATCCCGTCGTGATGGTTTCTCGTCGCGAGCATGTCTGGGAAAACAATCTCCCCCCTTTCCCCCGCGCTTCGCTGCGTGCACCAGCCCTCTCTCCCGAGGCTTCCCGGGCGGCCCGACGCCTCCTTGGGCGTCTCACGCGCTCTCCAATGCTTCCAGGACGGCCTGCGAGGGCCACCAAGGCCGCCAAGATGGCCCAACATTGCCTCAAGACGCACCCAGGAGCCCCCAAGAAGCGCCCTCCGCACGCCCCCAAACACTCCCAAGACGCCTTCTCTCCCGAGGCTTCCCAGGCGGCCCGACGCCTCCCCGGGCGTTTCCTGAGCTCTCCACGAACGCTTCCAGAGCGGGCGACGCATCGCAGTTGCGGTGCGACCCCTCCGCGGAGACCCAGCCGAGTAGTCCTTCCGGCCGCGAGGTCGGCGCGGGGCCTCCGCCGCCCGGCGGGCCGCCGCCGCGGCCCAGCGGGCCGCCGCCAGGCCCGCCCCCCAAAAGGGCGTCGTTGTCGTCGTCCTCGTCGCCTTCGTCGTCTTCGAGGTTGGCGTTTTAGCAGGTCTTGGCTCTTGGAGGCTGGAGGCTTTCTCGCCTCGGGATGGTTCCCAGCAGCTGCGCCTCGCCGTGAACGTTCCAGGGGTGCCCGAATCGCCCTGAACTGCCGCCGGAGGCCCGAGCTATGGCCCGAAAGCCGACGAGGTTCGAGGGTTCTCCTCGTCGTCGTCCTCCTTGCTATCGCTGTTCTCTTTGTCGTCAGCGTCAGCGTCATTGCCCTCCTCGTCATCCTCGTCCTCGTCGCCCATTTTTTTCGTGGTCGCCGCCGTCGTGGACGTTGTCGTCCCTGTCGTCCTCTTCGTCGCCCTCGTCGTCGTCTTGATGATCGCCATCGTCGACATCGTCGGCGTCGGCGTCGGCGTCGCACCGCACAGGGCGGCGGAAACCGCCATTAGGCCTTCGAGCGCAGGGGAGAAGAGCTTGCAACGTGTCGCGCGTTCCTTCCCTCCCCCCTTCCTCCCCCCACACTGTTCCCCCCTTCCCCCTCCCTTCCCCCCTCCCTCCGCCCTCCCTCCCTCCCTCCCCTACCCTCGTCCGCACCAGGACCTGTGGCACGCACTGTTCAAATGGATATGCAGATACACCTCGACAACCTGATCTTCCGTTTTTTTCTGGTCGGGGATTTGTTCCAGAAATGGGCGACCCAACCGTTACCGCGACCCGCCGGGGAATTGGCCACCAGGGAATGACAAATGGGGATGCCGTCTCACTCAGCACTCTTTCTACCCTCAGTCTCTGTTCTGGCTCCCGCCCTCTCGAAGACGGCACTGATGGAGAAGCAACTTTGGTTGTACCGCATAGTACTCAGATGAGTCTCGACAAGAACACGTCGTCTTGGGGACATTTTGGGGCCACGTTGGGCTCTCTGGGGGCCATCTTGCACGTTTTGGATGCCATTTTGGACCGTCTTGGCCGGCAACGTGCGCCTTTCGAGCGCCTCCCCCCTGCCTCTTCCAAATCGGCGGGATTGGGCTCCCCGGGGAAGAGTTTGGGAAGGGCACCTATCTCACGCGGCAGGGAATGTCCAGGGGGTCGACGAATTTCACGAGGAATAGAAACACACAGACACACATGTGGAAAATATGGGAAATGCGGGAAATAAGGGAAGCGGAGGGGAAGACGACAATCCATAAAATAGTTGAAAAGATTGGGAATCCTGCGATGAATGTGTTACTTGTCTGCGTGTTCCTGGCCCCTTCAGAATTCATTGTCGCATATGAGTACGTCTGCTGTATCGTGAGGGACGGCGGCGCGCAGGCGCGGGCGTTGGCGGCCCGGCGTCGAACGCCCGTCCGGTCGCTCCTCCAAGGCTCGGCCGCAGGTCCTGGAGGCACGTGTGGCGCTTGCGGGGCCCCCGAGGCTCCAGTCTGCATGGGCCTTGCCGAGTCACTGGAGCCAACTGTCCACCACCACTACCATAGGGAGGATGAGGAGGTCCTCCTGGACCCTACTTCGTTGGAGATTGCCGATTGCCGAGAGTTGAAGAGGCCGCATTCCGCTGCCATTTAGGCCCTTTCAGTTTCGCGCTGAACAGGGGCCTTCCGCCTGTGCATGCCGTGGGGGCTGGACGCCTTGGCGCGCGACCTGACGCAGGCCGCCACCACAGCGCTGGTGGTGCGGTCAGGCGTCCCGTCGTGCCCCGACTGTGTCTGCTCGCCCGCGCTGACGTGCCCGCCGCACCTGCCGTGGGGGCGAGGGGTATCTCAACCCCACTGCCGCGGAGGGGTACTCGGCGGCAGCGCTGGCGGTGGTCGCCGGCACCTGCCTCCTCCTGGGGGCCGCCGCAGGCGCCGCGGGCGTTATCTGGGCGTTGCACCCCCGGGCGACACCGAGCGCCAGCGCGCCGGGCCCGGTGGCGGCGCCTGGGACGCCCGCCACGGCGCTGGCTGCGCCAGCTGAGGCAGAGGCGCTGGAGGACGTGCAGGCGCTGGCCGCGGCGCAGGCGAGGGCCTTCCGTCGGCCGCGGGCGGCTGGGCAGTGATGGCGGCGCCGCTGGGTGCTGGAGGCTTCTGCCTCACGAGGTACAACGTCGGCGGGGTCGAGGTACACCACGAGCGGGTGATCCTCTACGGGACTGGCTACGTGCTGACGCCAGACATGGACGACTACGGAGAAGGGCTGACGCCGGACGTGGACATCCACAGCGTGCGGCCGATCGCGGGGCAGGGCGGCCGCGCCGGCGGGATCGTGGAGGCTCGGACGTATCGCTTCCGCCGCCTGCCGACGCCGGCGGAGCTGTGGGCTGCGCTGCGGAGGGGAGCGGCCGCGGGGTTCGGCGTGTTCCCGGACTCGCCCTTCATGCTCGAGCTCTCGGCCGCGAACTGCGAGGGGCATCCTGCCGGGCCGCTGGGGGTCGCGGACCCAGTCGCGGCCCTGGCCCCTGCGCTGGCCATCGCGGGCCCAGCGGCGGCGCCAGCTGAGGCGGTGCCTGCCGCGGTGGGAGGACCGCCAGTGGCCGCCGCGGCCGCTGGCCCGGCCGCGCCGGGGGGAGCTGTGGCGGCTGCCCCTGGGCGTGCGCCAGCGGTGCCTGACGGCGCCCCCGTCCCGCCGCTGCCCTCTGGGGCTGCGCCGCCAGGCTGGGTGTGGGTGGCCGCGGAGGACGTCGACGGGCTCGTGTCGTTCGGCGAGGAGCTACAGGTGGGTGTCGCCGGCGGAGTGCAGCTGGCCTGGCGTTCCGGGCGCCGAGGCGGCTTCGCGCTCCCCGCTGGAGGCGCCGCTTTCGGGATCCTGCTGCAGCAGAGCGAGGTGGCGTACTTCAGGCAGGAGTTCCGAGGCAACGACGCGCGGACGCTAGAGGTGCCCGCCGCGTCTGCGGCGTCAAGCGGGCCGGCACGTGACTGGCGCGAGGTGGTCCAGCTGTGCCACCAGGAGCCGGTGGCCGACTTCGCGGTGCCGGGGCCGCAGACTGCCGCTTGGTGTGCGAAGTACCAGGTGAAGGAAGGTGGTCCTGCCTTCCATCATGATATGTGGAAAAGCCGCAGGAGGCTCACCTCGACGGACTTCGTCGTCGACATGCACGACACGCTCTCGCGCATGATTGAGGCCATGGGCGTGTCGGACCACCTGGGCGTCTTCAACTTGGCGAGCGCCGAGATCGGATATCGCAAGCTCCAGTTGATTGAGCATTACTGGGACGACCGCAGTGCAGAGCAGCAGCAGAACAACAGCAAGATCCCCTTGGAGGAGAGCCAGGCCTTCATGGGCGGGGCTCGTGCGCCTTCGATGGCGCGCCCCGAGCTGCTCGACACCGCGTCGAAGGATTTGGAGCGCATCTCAAGCATCAAGAAGAACGCCAGGAAGCTGAGGGAGGAGCAGGCCGCCGCCGCTAAGGCCAAGGGCGCTCCTCCCAAGACGGGATGATGCTGGGACCGCCGCCGGGGACGCCTCGACCCGATGGCGAACCTTTGGAGAGGCTGGTGGACAGCGACGGACACGTGCAGCGGTCGCTTCTGCCTTTGCCAGTCCCTGACTGGTGCCGTGCCCCTGGCGGCGCCTCGCGGGCGCGCTCTGCTCGCCGTCGTCGAGGGCATCGAGCGCATCAGGGCGAGCTTCTCACCGAGCTCGTCGTCGCGCTCAACCAGCTGGATGCCGGCTCAGACCTCGTTCGCAGGCAGTGCGAGGGCGAGCCCAGCAGGATGCAGCAGCTATGCCTGGAGCGCCTCGCCGAAAGCTGCGCGGCGATGGGCGCCCCGCCTTCTGATTTGTCGTCCGAGGTGGCCCTCCGGGGGCCCCAGGTCGGCACCGCCTACGGGGACTGCGACCCCGTCTCGGCGGCCCCCTTCGTGCACGACCTCGTCTCCTTGCCGGCTGTCGGTGGCGCCCCGGTGCCGCTGGACCAGCTGCTCGGGAAAGACGGTCCAGACATCGCGCGGAGGTTCATTTCTTCCAAGGTTTTGTCAAATCATGATGCCGCTGAGGCAAAGAAGGACTCGGGTTTTGTGCGGCCGTACCTGGATCCAGTTCTCCGTCGGCGCGAAGACTACCTCGCCTTCGTCAGCCGACTGGGCAAAGCTAACATGCTGGATTTCAGGCTCGACGGCGACGACTTCGAAGAGGTCGGGCTTTTCACAGTTTGGAAGAAAGACGGTCGCCAACAGATCTGGTGATCGATTGCAGGGGATCTAATTTGCATTTTGCAGAACCTAACAAGACCAGCCTCGCTAGCGGGGCCAGCTTCAGTCGCCTGGAGCTGCAAGAGGGTGAGCAGTTGTGGACAGGGGGCGTGGACATAGCCGACGCGTTCTACAATATGGGTTTGCCTTGTGAACTTCGACGTTACTTTGCTCTTCCTCGATTGCGTGCCGCTGACCTTGGCCTCAAGGTCGTCGAGGGCCAGTCCGTGTCGAGCCGAGCCTGGGTCCGCCCGTGCTTGGCGGTCTTGCCAATGGGCTGGTCGCACGCTCTCGACTTCTGCCAGCGGGTGCACCGCTCGATCGCGCTGGAAAAAGGGGGCCTCCCTGGGGCAGCTGAGATCGTTGACGGACGTCCGCCTGCGGATGTGAGGGAGGGAGCTTCCACGGCCTACGTCGACAACTTCGTCGCCTTCGGCACGGGGCCCGAGAGGCCTGGTGAGATGTTGGACGCAGCTCGAAAAGCCCTTGAAGGTGTGGGCCTGCCGGTGCACCCGACCGAGGCGCCCGTCGCCGTTTCGGAGCAGCTGGGCTGGGTCTTCGACGGCGAGCGCGGGGCCTTGCGCCCCAAGAGTCGGCGTGTCTGGAGATTGAGGCTGGGGATTCTGGAACTCTTGAAGAAGGGGTACGCCACGGGTCGCCAGATCGGAAAGGCTGCTGGACATTATGCTTTCATTGCTCTCGCTCAGAGGCCTATGCTCTCCGTCTTCAGCGCCGTATACAGTTTCTCCCGGAAGTACTTCTCCCGAGTCGTGAAAATCCCGCCTTCGGTTCGACGTGAACTTCAGTGGGCTGCCGCACTCCTCCCTCTGGCTTGGTCTGACCTTCGTGCGCCCTGGGGCTCCATGGTGCATGCGAGCGACGCGAGCGAGGAGGGGAGGGGGGTCTGCCAGAAGGAGGCCGACGTCGAGCTCGTCAGGGCTGCGGGTCGTGATGAGGAGAGGTGGAGGTTTCGTCATCCTGGAGTTTCTCGATCTCGCGATTGTCTCGGTGGCCCCGGGGATCCCGCGGAGGAGCCGGAGGTCGTCGACGACTTCGAGGGGGTGAGCACGGAGGGCGAGAGGTGGAAGGTGCAGGAGGTTTCGAGCGAGCTGTACGGGGGCAGGTGGCAGGTGGTGTCTAGTGGAGGATGGGCCCGGGCTGAGAACATCATCGTCCTGGAGGGTCGGGCCATCGTTCACTCGCTCAGGCACGCTCTTCGAGATTCGCAATATTTTGGTCGGCGCCTCCTCTTCCTGTCCGACAACATGGGGCTCGTATGTGCATTGCAGAAGGGGCGCTCGTCGGCTGGGGGGGTCCTCCGCATCACCCGGCAATGGGCTGCCTGGTGCCTGGCGGGCGGCGTGCAGGCCTCCGTCCGCTGGATCCCGTCGGAGCGCAACGTTGCGGATGCTCCGTCGCGCCGCCACATCCCCCTCGGCGCGTGGCTGGACGGGGGCGCGGGCGGTGCTGAGCCGGACCTCGACCGCTGGGGCGTGCGGGACGGGAGCCTCCGTAGCCAGCGCGCCGACGTCGCGGCCGCGGGGGCGGAGCTCGATGAGCTGGCCGTCCGCGACGCCGCCAGCGGCCCCCTCCGGGGCGCCCGGCGCCCCCCGGCGGCTGCGGGGCAAGCAGGCGGCCGACGGGAGCGATCCTGCTCAGTCGGCGGTGCGCTGGCCTCGCCACGTCGGGGCGGCTGCTGCCGCTGCGCGGCGGCAGGGGCGCACGGCGCCGGCGCGGAGAGCTGTTCGCGCGGCTCGCCGGCGGGCGCGGGCTGCGCCTCTGGTCACAGGGGGGACCTTTCTGCAGAGGGCCTCGGTGACGCCGAAGACGGTCGCGCAGTACGACACGCTGTGGCAGGACATCCTTCTGGCGCGGGCAGCGACTGCGCGCGTGACCGGCGCCGCCCGAGAGCCCAGCGACGACGACATGGACGGCCTGCTAGCCAGCTGGATGGACCGCGAGTACTTGGCCGGCGAGCTGTCGCAGCGCGGGACCAAGGCGATGGCGGCGGCGAAGTTCTTCCGGCCGCAGTTCAGCCGCACGGGCAGCCGCGCGCTGCCGCAGGCAGCACAGGCCTTGAAGGGGTGGAAGCGCCTCGCCCCTGGGCGGGCGCGGCTCCCGCTCCCCTGGGAGGTGGTGTCGCTGATCGCGCTCGAGCTGGTCGCCGCGGGCTTCTGGGCGATGGCTGCGTGGGTCGTCATCACGTTCCACTGCTACCTGCGGCCCAGCGAGCTGGGGCGGGTCACGCCAGAGATGATCGTCGCGCCCACCCCGGGCACGCACATCTCGAGCTGGGCCATCGTCCTGCGCCCGTCCGAGGAGGAGGTGAGCAGCAAGACGAGGGAGTTCGACGAGACCGTGGTGTTCGACCTCGCGGAGTTCAGCTTCCTCCACAGCGCGCTCGCGTTCCTCAAGAGGAGCGCGCCGCCGAGGCAGCCTGTCTTCGGCTTCCTGCACGCGGACCTCGTCCGCAACTTCAGGGCCGCGGCCGCGCGCGCCGGCGTCGAGTGCCTGGGCCCGGAGCTGCACGTGCTGCGGCACAGCGGGCCGAGCCACGACCGGGCGCGGGGGCTGCGGACGCTGCAGGAGATAAAGCTGCGGGGGCGGCGGCACTGCGACTCGAGCGTGCGCAGGTACCAGTAGGAGGGCCGCCTGGGGGAGCAGCTGCAGAGGCTGCCGAGCGCCGCCCGCGGGCGGGCAGTCGGCTCGACCGCAGCGCTCCGGTCGGCCCTCGCGAGGCCTTTGCTCGCACCCTGGCCTCCAGGGGCGCCCGCCTCGTCCAGCCGCAGGTGTTTCTAGAGCTGTTCAGCGGGCACGGAGGCCTGTCTCACAGCCTGCGGTCGCGCGGCTTCTTCGTCCTGGAGTGGGACAAGACGCGCGGGCCGCAGCGGGACTTGAGCCAGCGCGGCACGCAGAAGTTGGTGAGAGGCTGGATTATGGCCGGGCTCGTGTGGGGCGTGTCCATGGGCACGCCATGTCAGACTTGGACGAGGGCGCGGGACACCGGGCCCCTTCGAGATCCTGACAACCCTCGACCCTGCCTGCCATCCCGTCTTCGCAGTGACCAAGAGTTGATGGGCTTGAGTGACCTCAAGCATCCCGGCGATCTCGAGGCTGTGCGAGTAAGCAATATGTTGGCCGCCTTCTGTTGTAGCATCTTCGAACTCATGCGCCTTCTAGCTCTGCCTGTCGCCCTCGAGAATCCTGCCCGCTCGCGTCTGTGGCTCCTTCCTCGTCTTTTAAAGGCCAGCAGCTGGGCTACCTCTTCGTTCATTATTACAGACATGTGTCAGTGGGGAACGCCGTGGAAGAAACCTACAGGTGTTCTAGGCGATCGAATCTCTCTCGCTCATCTTGCCTGTCGCTGTTCAGGGAAAGTCTGCAGTCGCACTAACCAGCCTCACACGTCAATTCACGGGTTGGCAGCAGCTGGCGGTTTCAAGACGAAGGCCGCCGAGCGCTACCCCCCTCGCTTTTGCAGTGCGCTCGCGGCCGCTTTCGACCAGGCCCACGGGAGCGCCAAGACGAAACAGCTCTCACCCCTTTTTGTGTAAATGTGTCTCCCCCTGCAGTGTCTAATTAATCGAGATGACCAACTGGAAAGTGTGGCAAGGTTGCGTGTTGCGAGCCCTCGTCTCTGGCTAATGTTCTCAGTTCGCGCCCAGGCTCCGCCCGACGCGAACCGATCGTGTTCCAGAGCCGGCGCATCCTTGCCTAAGCTCGTCTGCGCCCAGAGGTGTCGCAGAAAAGAAGTCCCCTGGCCTTGGCAGCGGCGGCAGCAGGCATGGACCCTACTTCGATGGAGATTGCCGATTGCCGAGAGTTGAAGAGGCCGCATTCCGCTGCCATTTAGGCCCTTTCAGTTTCGCGCTCCCAGTCCCTCCCACCCCTCGCGCGTGTTGTGAGCCCTCGTCTCTGGCTAATGTTCTCAGTTCGCGCCCAGGCTCCGCCCGACGCGAACCGATCGCGTCCCAGAGCCGGCGCACCCTTGCCTAAGCTCGTCTGCGCCCAGAGGTGCCGCAGAAAAGAAGTCCCCTGGCCTTGGCAGCGGCGGCAGCAGGCATCCTCCTCCTCCTCCTCCTCCTCCTCCTCCTCCAGTCGCCGCTACTGCTCTGTGCAGCATGCGACGGATTCGGCCACCCATCCACCATGGGCGGCCCCACAAAACAACCCTGACCCCGATGGGGCTCTTGGCCAGCCGCGATGGCGACGGCCCCCCCTGTGCCGTCCTTGCTCGTGTACAACCCCTTGCACGCGGCTGGAGACAGATTACTGGATATCGTGGCAGAAGTACCGAACATACATGTACTGTGTCTTCCTGGAACGCAGAGACAGGCCCTCGTCGATTGTCCGTATCAGGTCAGCATGGCGCAGCAACGAGTGTGTATTGAAGCAGGGTGGAGAGCAGGAGGATTCTCGAATCGAGCTGCTGGAGTCGCCGCTGTTTTGCCCCCAGGCTGGCGCCAACAACACGTTCGCCGAGTAGAGCTACCTCCCCCACCTCTGCAAGGGCGAGGTATAGCTACTGATGCGGGGAAGGGAGGCTGGCAATTATTTATTGTAGTGTTGTACTACCCTCCCCGCCCAAGCACTGCCACGGGCCTCTGACAGCACTTCGCGTGCGGCAAGAAACTTTCAGAATGGATTACGGGGCTTCTTAGACAACTTCCAGCACGGGTTCAGCCAGTTATACTAGCTGATGTCAACGACGGGATGGGGCTTAGCAAGGTGAAGGGGAATTGGGAGGAGGTGGACACGCAGGCGGTGGGACAGGTGAGGACGAGGGAGAGGCACATCGGAGGAGCGGGACAACGATTTCGATAAGTTTTGGAAGCTGCTGATTTGTACTCCCCAACAACCACGTCACACTATGCCCCAACTTTTTACGGAAATAATGGAGGCAGCAGTATGATTGACCACATCGGGGTCCCGCTGGCGCGGCGTGACTCGGTCGAGTGCGCGGCTCCGATTCACAAGCTGGGACGGAAGCTACAGGTCATTCCTCATAGAGAGCCGCGCGACCATCTGCCTGTTCTGGTCAGTGCTCGTGCGCCTAGGATTGGAGGAGGACAGGAGGTCAGAGAGGAGGTTGCCCCTGATGCCAGGATCCGCCTGGAAGTCGCCCGGGACCGTGATGAGCTCACGCAGGGGCTCCGTGGGGGCCCAAGAAGGGAGGCGTTCACCAGGCAGGTGGAGGAGGAGATGGAGGAGGCGTGGTCCAGTCTTCCGCCAGATCTTGCAGACACAGCTGCCCCAGACCTTCTGCTCGATAGATTGGATGACGTCCTACGGCGCCTGGGCAGTCAGCATATTCAGAGAGAGTGCGCTGGGCCTCGTGAGCCACACCCACTCATTCAAGAGCGTCTGGCTCTGCTTGCTGAGCGACGAGCACTTCGCGCATCACTCCATCTTGCCACAGATGCTGAATTTGAAGAATGCCGTGCCCGCCTTCGTGAGTACACTAAGAGATGCAAGTCTATCGTTCGACGTTGCAGCAGGGAGAGAGACGAACGCCTGGTGCAATCCATATGGGAGGCTTGGAGAGCCCGTGACTTTGCGGTTATTCAACGTCTCAATCTTCATCTTGCAGGTGGGAAGTATGGGAGGGCTAAACGGGACCTACGAAAGTTAAACGGAGCGCCACCTACTCCAGAACAGTGGATGGCGGTATGGGAACAGCAGGGAGGGGACGGAGGGATGCTAGCACACCGAGCTGAATGGTCAGAGTATTGCGATCATCAACGGGCTATTTCAGCTCGACCTCTTTCTCGTGAAATGGCTGAGGAGAAGGCCACGCGCGCTTGTTTTCGAGCACTCTTGGATCTTGAGCTTATCCAGAAGTATTTCGCCAGAGCTCCGAAGAGACGAGGTGCGCCGACTTGGGCGCTACCGCTTGAGATCTGGAGCATGCGCATCAATGGCCCTCGAGCGCAGCAGGCAGCCATGCAGGGGGCGGGGATCGGAGCAGATACGACCGTCACGGAGGGTAAGTATACGAAGCTGATGCTGCACCGAGTATTCGCTCTTACTAGGTTCTGGGAGGTCACGCCAAAGCATTGGACTATTAGTCAGGGGTTCGCTATTCCGAAAGCTGCTGTCCCAGGGCCGAAAGGCAAACGAGTTGCCCATGGGCTGGATCCCCTTAGCAAAAGTTTTTACGCAGGTATCCTCAAGGCCGGCCCCAAAGAAGCCCAATCTGAATGTGACCACGGTTTTCTTCGAATTCGGCGGCGTGAGGACGCCCTGGTAGCATGTCTCTGCACTGGATGGCGTTTGAACCAAGCAGGCTTCTATTGGTGCGACTCCTTAAAGGACTTATCCAATGCCTTTGCATCCCCACATTGGCAGGCCCTTGATGCAGCATGTGTTTCTCTAGCTCAGCATGATGATCGTAAACTGTGTCGTCAAAGGTATCGCACCTCAGGATGTATGCTACCGTCGTGCATGGGCTCGTTTCTGATCCATCCTGGTTGCGGAGCACTGCAGGGTGACCCGTTTGCTGCGGCCAGTTTTGTTCGTACCTTTAAGCCGCCAGTGGACCGCTGGATTGAGCGATACCAGCGCGAGGACTCAGGAGAGCAGTTTCTGCGGGCGCACCTCCCGCAGGCCATGGACCCTGTCCGCAAGAATAACATCTATCTAGGCTTGCACAATTTCCCAGATGACCTGCTGAAAAAAAGATAGTTATTGGTCAGACATATGACGCACAGCGCTTTGGGCACCTTCTTGATCGCAATGACGCGATCCTCGATGAGGAGCTCTCTTCCATCGGCTTGAGGCGTAACCAACAGAAGCAGGAAGCGATTGTGCGGGTTCCTGCTAGCTCTCGGCGAGGCGCTGCTGCGATCCTGAGAAGTCGGGAGACGAAGGTTGCTGAGGACGTTCGGTACCTGGGTCCACGGATTTCGCCGACGCAGTCGTTTGGACCAGAGCTCTTGCATAGGATCCAGGCCATGAAAGCTGCGTTCTGTCGTCTTGGGAGTTTCTGGTTTAAGCGTGGAATACCCGTCCGATGGAAGCGATGCATACTGCTGTGCCACATAGTGAATGCGGCGCTGTCTGGAGTCGAGGCTTTCGTACCGACCGAGGTCCAGCTCAACACGTTGCAGTTGGCTCTCGCTGCTCTCGCTCGTAAAGTTATGCGCGGGGAGGTTAGTTGGGAGGACCAGGGGGGCCGTATTCGATCGCTTTCGTCGATGGAGGTGCTGAGGTGGTGGAGGATCGCCCCCGTCTCGACCGAACTTCGTGTTCGACGGCTTCGATGGCTTCAGGCGTGCATCAGAAGACCAGAGGCCCACCAACAGCTACTCGCATCGATCTTCGGCAGCGTGACCTTCGAGAGGGAGGGTGTCTTCGATGACTGCGGTAGGGTTCGTGAATCGGCTAACCCATGGGCCCGGCGTGTTCAGGATGACATCAAGCACCTTGTCCAGTGGAGCTCGGACGCCGCTGAATGCAGGGAGCGCGCGGAGGGCTCGATTTTGAAACTGTTCGACCCCAAGATCGCTCCCGACTTCCTGCGGGTGGATATGACCATCCTGAGAGGCGCGCACTCGTCTGTTGAAGTACCTCCCCCTGGGCTCGAGGAAGTTGACCACCTAGCTCTGGAATGCGAGGCCCTCTGCACGGAGTTTCCCCACATGTGTCCCTGGACGGGTTGCCAATCTAAGTTCTCATCTAAATCTGGATTGGTTAATCATTTTCGGCGTATTCATGGCACGGTGAAGCTGTCCCAGGCCCTGACCAAGACGAATCAGTGCATTGCGTGCCACGAGGTCTTTTGGGATCGAAAAACGGCCCAAAAACATCTCCATGGAGCCCTGGTGAACGGAAGATGCTTGCAGAATAAAGCCACCACTCTTCGACCTCTCCAGGAACCTCAGGACCTCACCTGTAGTATATGTGGCTCTTTTTTTTCAGGGACTGCTGAATATGACGATCACGCTTGCACTCACCTGCCTTTCGTTCCAAGTGTGCGTGATGGCCCTCGTCGACGACACGTTGTTCGGGACCGATGTCGACATGCCGCAGTGGCTGCGCGCGGCGAGGCCCAAGAGAGGCGCCGAGGAGCAGGCCGAGGGCGCGGCCAAGAAGCCTGCGACGGCAGGTGGCGGAAGCGGAGGCGGCAGGGGAGGCGGGGGCTTGAGGCGACGCCAGGCGGACCCCGACGACAGCGACTTCGTGGACGCGTTCAGGGCCATGGCACGTCTGTCGCTCAGCAATGCAAGAGAGCTGGCCATGATCGAGTCGAATGTCCTCGAGACGTACCTGATCGACGAGAGCGCCTGGTTCGCTCGCGCAGGTCTGGCGGCGAATGCGCACTGCACGGGCCAGGCGAGAGCGCTCAAGGAAAAGAATGGCCAGGATCACACCGTCGACCTCGCCAGCCTGGGGCCTCCCTTTCTCACGGTCTTCTGGTTGATTATGATGGCCATCCGCCAGAATGCGAACACAGGTGCGCCGAAGGAGGCCATCGAGAAGTTCCACCGCGATCACCTCCAGGGCAAAGGTCCAGTCGAGCTGGTGAACTATGCACGACACATTTCGCTCCAGCAGCCGAGGGGCGAGAAGTCGAAGCGCATGGAGAACAAGGTCAAGTCCAAGCTGAATGTGATGCCGAACGGGACGACGGGGCAGGCACTATGCGAGATCTTCCAGCAGGTTCTGTTGGAGGTCAAAGCGGAGAGGCTGGTGGGAGCTGCTCCGAGGAGCGCGGCAGAGCGTCAGGTACAGCAGTGGTTGCATCGTCACTAGAGCTGAAAGTGGCCAGGCTGGTACGAACAGCATCGGCGCCAGCGGCACGCACGGATCCTTCTCGCTCTGCGGGCGCTGCAGGGGGTGAAGTACCGACCGCGGTGACGGCGCGCACGGATCCCCCTGCCAGCCTCGAGGGCAATGAGACAGATGAAGTACCGACCGCTGGCGCCAGACATGCTGATGATGATGTGAAGTCGTTTGAGATAGTTGATTGGGAAGGCGAGATCATGGGTTCACGATTTAGTGGAGATGCGGGCAACCACTATCGGGCGTATCATCATACGATCTCTGGGGAACCTCCTGCTCGGGTATCGAAAACGACAATGACAATTGCACCCAGTACATCGAATTCGCGTACGGCACATCCGACGCCGCCTCGTCCTTCATCATCGAGTGGAGTGAGGCAGCCTCTGACCGCCCCGCCACCGCTTGCCTTGCCTGCGCGCTTCTCTGCTAGCGCTCGTTTTGCGTCCTTGGTGGCACGCGGCCACATCAGGGACATCAGAGTGAATGGAGGGGATGGGTTTGTGTGTGTGGGTGGTGGGGGTGGGACGGGCTCGGGGGTGGAGGAGACAGAACGGCTGGCTGCGGCGAACACTGACCGTGCGGAGGGCCGTGCGGATCCGCCCAGCGAGCGACGTGCACCTAGGCCACCTCAGAAGAAGCGTGGACGGCCCAGTAGGGGTCTTCAGTCTGGGATCTGAGGCTGGAGCCCGCAGGCGCCCCTGGTGGACATCCACCTTGTGGGGCTTGCCTTCGGGGCCAGCGGGGGCGTCTCCCCCCAGAAGGAGCCCCCCTCGTACATTTGTGGTTGATGCGGCCACCTGGCCGTCGCAGGGATGAGAATTTTCTTCCAGCAGCTCTGGTGCTGTTCATTGTATGTGGACTCAGAGATCGTCCCCAGCGTTCAGTTCAGTTCAGTTCCTCCTCCTCCTCCTCCCTCTCCTCCCTCTCCCGCCCATTGGTAGTGGTGGTGGAAAATCGATCCATCAACTCGGGCCACTGGCACAACTCCGCGGCAAGATCTGGCATGCCCACAGTCGTGCGTCTGCGACCTTCGTCGTCTACCCAGCTTATTTGCTCGCCGTGCACTGTCATATCTTTCCAGGCGGGGGGCGCGTTTCGTTGTCCTCTGCTAGGAAGTGGAGGCCAACGTTGTTCCTTTTCGGCGGGCTCCAATGCGAATTCGGGAAAGGGGGACCTGGTTGCGGCCAAGAAGGAGGCGTGTACAACATGTCCAGGACGTGCGGAGCTAATGGGCGCCGCGGAAACGCAGAGGCAGCTCCGACGTCCGATTCGCGCACGTTGATCCCTTTCGCTGATGCGACTGGGCATGTTCGCTTGAAGCTTTGGGACGAGCGGCGCGCCGTGCAAGCGCATTGGAGCGTGGACTGTTGCGTGGCCCGCAGAGGCGTTTAGGAGAGGGGCCATCGTCGTTTCCACAGGCTCGCGCAATGTCAGTCGTTGTGGTGAACGGTTGCATCTGGGACGGCGCGTGACGCGGCGGCCTAGGATTTGCTGCCCCCCGCAGTGCGGCACCGACGGACATGGAAGGGCGTTCTCCAGCATTTCTTGCGAGCACGCCGACCCGGTGGCGGCTGGCGGCCGCGAGCCCGCCGCACGTCGACGACGAGGTCCTCAGCCGCGGCGTCAGGCTTCATGGCGGCAGCCAGCATGTTTGTGCAGGTCAGCGAGTCTGACAGGGCTCTGCGCCCGCGGCTCCCCCAGTGGACGCCCCCTCGCACCCAGTCGCGCCTCTGGAAGCTCGCGCCGAGGCGGCGGCAGCGGAGGCGGAGATCGCGCAGCTGCGCGCGGCCGCAGCAGTATCAGGCGCCGGCGGCGCGGACGCAGCTCTGGCTGGCCGTCCATCCGCGCCCGCGCATCTTGCGGCTGAGGACCCGCAGCGGCGCTCTGCCCCCACGCCCGAGTCCGCGGAGCTTGCAGATCACGCCGCCGCGAGGCTCACGGAGCGGCGAGCAGCACGGCTTCATGAGCGAGCCCGTCGAGATGCGCACCCAACGCAATGAGCGGCTGGCGCATTCAGGAGGCGAAAAACACACAGACACCAAAAATCGTCGATTCCCATTTGTCTGCATACATATATATATATACACATATGTATGTGTATATATATATATAGATGTATGTATGTGTGTGTGTGTGTGTTTGTTTGTGTCCCTGGATCTTCTCACGCATGGCGGCGGAGGGCGCCGCTGAGCAGCCCTGGTTTGTCCGCCGCTGCCATCGCATTTTTGTTCTGCCGCGTCTCTTTCGCGCGCCACGCCTCCTCGGGGCGGCGGCGCCGCCCTTCTGCCGCTCAGTAGCTGGAGGGGGGCGACATGAAGAAAGCGGCGGAGACCAGCGGGGGGGCTGGCGTTGGGCCATTGGGAGGAGTAGATACAGTCGAGCATATGATATGATGGAGAAACCTCCTCCCGAAAAGCTGGGCCGGCATTTCTTAACCAATTTGCCAGAAAGAGTCTCTTCTCGAGCGTCAACAACAGAAGTTGGCCCACGCTTGTTCTAAGATATTTCTGGCAAGCTGGCCTGCAGTTCTTCATTTATTGTGTTGACCATAATTTCGGTTGTAGGGGCTCCCATCGGAACACGCATGGATTGGACGGCCCGAAATTGCTGAAGGAGAGCCCCAAGAGTGCTGGAGAGCCAGCAGGGACGGCCGAGGATGGCTTCAAGACGTCCCCAGGACCCACCCCACAACGTCCCCAAGAAGGTCCAACCGAGACTCTTCGGGAGAGCTCGGTGGAGCCATCGCGCCCGAGACGGCCCTGGGACCCTCCAGCGGGCCTCCCTACAGACCCTCCAGCGGCTTCCAAGTCAGCCCAAGAGGCCACCAAGAGACTGCAAACATAACCTCAAGAAGCCTACAACATGCTTGCATCATGGGAGGAAGAGGAGGACGACGAGGAGGAGGAAGAGGAGGAGGAGGAGGCGGAGGAGGAGATGAAGGAGGAGGTGGAGGAGGAGGAGGAGGAAAAGAAGAATGAGGAGAACGAGGCTGCGGACAATGATGGGAGATTGAAGACCCGCGCTAGCTCAAACATGGGAGCGAATTGGAGGGGGTCTTGAACTCAACCGCCTTCCTGCCGTGCTGCTGCGCTGGCACGGTTGCTGGGCCTGCAACAGGCAACGGGAGAAAGGCGACAGCGATCATGATGCGTTTGGAACGGTTCTTGTGTTTGAGTTCCTTGATGCCTTGTCAGGGTGCGCGCGACTGGGCCCAGCGCCCCCTCCATCCCTCCCTTCTCTCCACTCCCACCCCCCCTCCAGACGGCCTTTGTGGAGTCTGACGGTCTGATGTTCCCTTCCGCCGCGTCGATGCGATCCCCCCCACGCCCACCCCCTTCCCATCTCCCCTCTGCTCCCTCCTTCACTCATGGCGGGGCGCCGTGTCGAGCTGAGGACTTTTGTGCCCAGTCTCGGGGTGGCGTCTCGTCGTTGAGTGTAGCATGGCCACTCCTGGCATGTGGCTTCGCAAAGGTTCCAGAAGGTCTCCTGCTTCACTCCTCCCCCGCCCCTCTGCTCATCCCCCCTCCGCCCTGTTCCCCCCCCCCTCTGCTCCGTCCTCTTCCGCCGCAGGGCAAGGCCCCGAGCGCGCGTTTTTGGCTCTCTTCTAGAGGCTGCGGAGGAGGTCGTCGTCGCCCCCCTGCCATCCTCGTCGTCGTCGCCGTCGTCGTCGTCATCGTCGTCGTCTCGTCGTCGTTTAGTCGTCGGCGTCGTCGTCGTACCTGCCCCTACAGAAGAGCCGCTCCAGCAAGGACTGAACATTCAGTCGAGGCTGACGAGTAGGTCGACCCTGCTAAACCAAGGGTGCCCTTACGTCCTGTGTTTCGCGACACATGCCTGCTACATCCCTGTGTCAATGTGGCCCTCCGAAGGGTTTTGTGTCCTCTCGCGTGCTCGCGTGTCCTCTCCTATTAGCTTCGTCTGTATTGCTGGGCCAATCCTGGTTAGTGTTTCGATACGCGCCTGTCCGCGGCGACCAGAACCTTCAGAGAGCGCCCGAAAACTTCCGACGCGAAGACATCGCCGTCGCCGTCGCCGACCAAATCCCGTGAAAAGCGGTTCCTGGACCCCGCCATGGGTCCATCTGGATTAGCGTTTCGTCCCCGATCGATTTCTGATGGTCCCCGGGACGCAAAAGGGCATCCTCGGTTGAAGTTGGCGCAAATTTGTTCGAATTCCATCGTCGCCGCCGTCGTTTCCGCCGTCGCCGCCGTCGTCAGGCATGCCTCCACCCAGCGGGCGGCGGCGGCGGCGGCGATGACGACGACGACGACGGCGATGTCGACAGCGTCGACGGCAGCGACGTCGATGACGAAGACGACGTCGATGACGCCGTCAAAGAAGTCGACGACGACGACGTCAAAGAAGTCGTCAGGCATGCCGGGGCCCGGTGGCGGGCCACCGCCGCCAGGCGGTCCGCCGCCGGGCGGTCCCCCGCTGGGCGGTCCGCCGCCGGGCGGTCCGCCGCCGCCCGGCATGCCGCCGCCGGGATGCTGCGGGCCGCCGCCAGGCGCCCCCCCCCCCAGGAGGTCGTCGGCGTCGACCTCGTCGTCTTGGAGGTTTTCGTTTTCGGAGGTCTTCTAAACTCTACGTTGGCTCTTGGAGGCTTTTTCGCCTCGGGATGCTGTCCAGCAGCTGCGCCTCTCTGAGAGCGTTCCAGGGGTACCCGAATCGTCCCGAACGGCCGCCAGAGGCCCTAGTTATGACCCGAAAGCCGACGAGGTTCGAGGGTCGAAGTTTTTCGGCACTTTTCGCCCCTGTCGGGCCTTTGAGAGGCGTCTCGTCGCCATGGCAGGATTCCCCTTAGAATTATTGGCGATTCCCCTATCCCCAGCAGCCCATCCAAACACGATCGCCAGGCAAGTTGACCTGATCAGGAAAGCGTAGGAGCATCCAATGGAACAGACAGGTGAGTCATCCGTCAAGCTGAGGCTCGGAATCAGCATGTGCGCATCCAGGAGTAAAATAGTTGAGCCTGCCTTCGAAGACAAAGGAAGAGGAGGATGCGGAGGAGAAAGTGGAGAAGGACGAGGGGGAGGAGGGAAGTGGATACAGGGGGAGGTAAGAGGAGGCGCAAGAGCAAGAGCAAGAGCAGGATGAAGAGGATGAAGGAAGAAGTGGGAAGGTGGCGATGGCGACTACATTCACGAGGGCGAGAAGGAAGAGGAAGGCGACGACATCGACGACGGCAGGAGTCAAGCATGAAGACATTCGCAGACCTCCTAGGTCCCCCATTGGAAGCCTCTTAGAGCCAACTTGGGCCCCCTTTGGAGGGCTTTGGGGCCCTCCTGGGACCACACTGGATGACATCGATCATTTCCAGACGTCCCGTGTGATATTTTGGAGTGCATATATATATACATATGTGTACATATATATATATATATATATATATATATATAGATCGGAGGTGACGGGGTGAGATCGAAGTGGAACGGAGAGCCCCCCTACCGGGAGATCGGTTTCGGTTTCGTGATCGTGCGTGCCATGCGTGCGGGCGAGGCGAAGCTGCGTGGGCGGGCGAGAAGAAAGTCTCCTCCGGCTGATGCGCGGCCGGACCAAATGATTCCTTTTTGGGGGCCAGAGGCCCGCGGTGTCCCGCCGGTGTCCCGCCTCCGGTTGAGGCGCGGCCGGACCAAATGTTTCCTTTCCTGGGGCCGGTGCCGCGCGGTGTCCCGCCCGCCAGTGTCCCGTCGATGTCCCGATGACGATGATGATGATGATGATGATGATGATGATGATGATGATGATGATGATGTTGATGATGATGATGATGCTGATGCTGATGCTGATGCTGATGCTGATGCTGATGATGATGATGATGATGATGTCGATGATGTTGATGAAGATGATGATGGTGATGGTGGTGATGATGATGGTGTCCCGATGATGATGATGATGATGATGATGATGATGATGATGATGATGATGATGATGATGTTGACGATGCTGACGATGTTGATAATGATGATGATGGTGATGGTGGTGATGATGGTGTCCCGATGATGATGATGATGATGATGATGATGATGATGATGATGATGATGTTGATGATGATGTTGCTGATGATGATTATTGTGTCCCAATGGTGATGGATGATGCAGATGATGATGATGGTGTCCCGATGATGATGATGATGAGGTTGATGATGATGTTGTTGATGATGGTGATGGTGATGATGGTGGTGTCCCGATGATGATAATGATGATAATGATGATGACGATGTTGGTGTTCCGATGATGGTGATGATGGTGGTGTCCCGATGATGATGATGTTGATGATGATGGTGAGGATGATGGTGTCCCGATGATGATGATGATGATGATGGTGGTGATGGTGATGATGTTGATGATGATGGTGATGAGGTGATGATGATGATGGTGTCCCGATGACAAGGATGATCATGATGATGATGATGTGATGACGATGATGTTGATGATGATGACGTTGGTTGTGAGATCGATTGTGATATCGATCGTGAGATCGATTTTGAAACCGAAGGTGAGATCGATTGTGAGGTCGATAGTGAGATCGATAGTGAGATCGATTGTGAGATTGATAGTCAGATCGATTGTGAGATCGATCGAATGGAATAGATAGAGTGAGATCAATTGTGAGATCGATCGAGTGAGATCGATCGAGCGAGACCGATAGTGAGATCGATAGTGAGGTCGATAGTGGGACCGATCGAGTGAGACGTTGGATCCTCCCCCCCCCGAACCTCCTTATCACCCGAAGGGTGGTCGTATAGGTAAACCAATAAATACATAGATATGTGTGTGCTTGTATATATACACAAAATAGACTACACATATACACATATACACATACACGTATGTTGGAGGATGGGGGGTGAGATCGCAGTGAAACGGAGCCCCCCCGCCGGGAAATTGGTTTTGGTTTCGTGTTCGTGTCGTGCGTGCGGGCGAGGCGAAGCTGCGCGTGATCCTCCTGTGGCTGGGCCGAAGTAGGAGCGAAAGTTCGGGTGCCCAGCAGCCGGTGGCCGGTTGGGCCGGGCGGTGTCCCGGGTGCCCCGTGGTGTCCCGTTGAGTGAGATCGATCGTGAGATCGATATTGAGATCGATACTGAGATCGATGTGGTGGCCCGAGGTTTCCCGTGGTGTCCCGTGGTGTCCCGTTGAGTGAGATAGATCGTGAAATCGATAGTGAGATCGACAAGTGTCCCGTGGTGTCCCGTGGTGTCCCGTTGAGTGAGATCGATAGTGAGATCGATAGTGAGATCGATGTGGTGCCCCGAGGTGTCCCGTGGTGTCCCGCTGAGTGAGACCGATAGTGAGATCGACAGATGTCCCGAGGTGTCCCGTAGTGTCCCGCTGAGTGAAATCGATAGTGAGATCGATAGTGAGATCGATGTGGTGTCCCGTGGTGTCCCGCTGAGTGAGATCGATAGTGAGATCGATAGTGAGACCGAGGTGTCCCGCGGTGTCCCGTGGTGTCCCGTGGTGACCCGTGGTGTCCCGTGGTGTCCCGTTGAGTGAGAACGATCGTGGTGTCCCGTGGTGTCCAGCTGAGTGAGATCGATAGTGAGATCGACAGGTGTCCCGAGGTGTCCCGTGGTGTCCCGCTGAGTGAGATCGATCGTGAGATCGATAGTGAGATCGATGTGGTGTCCCGTGGTGTCCCGTGGTGTCCTATGGTGTCCCGCTGAGTGAGATCGATAGTGAGATCGATAGTGAGACCGATCGTGAGATCGAGAGGCCCGTGGTGTCCCGTGGTGTCCCGCAGAGCGAGATCGATAGTGAGATCGACAAGTGTCCCGTGGTGTCCCGTGGTGTCCCGTTGAGTGAGATCGATAGTGGGATCGATTGAGTCAGATGTTGGTTCCCCCCCTTCCCCCGCCCCACAACCTCCTTCTCACCCGAAGGGTGGTCGTATAGGTATATGTTGCATCGGAGGTCGGGGGGTCAGATTGCAGTGGGACAGAGAGCCCCCACTGGCAAATGGGTTTCGGTTTCGTGTTCGTGTCGTGTGTGCGGGCGAGGCGAAGCTGCATGGGCGCGCGAGAGGGCTCACCCCGCCGTCGCTAGGACGATCCGGATGAAGTGGACCGCCCTTCCGCCCCCGGCGGGCGCGCGGTGGCCCGGGGTGTCCCGCCGTGGTGTCCCGCCGTGGTGTCCCGTCGGCGTTCCGTCGGCGGTGGGCGGGCGGTGACGGGGGTGTCCCGCCTTGGTATCGCTAGAGAAGTCGATAGTGGAAACGATACTGGGATCACTAGAACGGGATGAATAGTGAGATCGAAAGTGAGATGGATTGTGAGGTTGATTGTGATATTGGCTCTGAGATCGATAGTGAGATCGATAGAGGAATCGATAGTGAGATCGATAGGGATCGATAGCGGAATCGATCGCTGAATCCAGTGGTACTAAGATTGGCCGCGAGGTCGATAGTGGGATCGAACGAGTGAGATCGAACGCGGGGACGATAGTGACATTACATCGCAGCGCAACATCGTCATCACGCGTCGTCGCGAACTCGAGGGCGCGTCACCAGCATCGTCATCACCACACCCATCGCATTTGCCAGCAGTTGGTTCTTCACCCCCACCCCCCAACCTCCCTATCACCCGAAGAGTGGTCGTATAGGTATAGATACGTGTGTATACATATGTATATATATATATATATATGCATGTACGTGTGTGCGTGCGTCCAGACGTCCTGTGGTACCTGGAAGCCTCTTGGGGCTATCTTGCGGCAGCCTTGGGGCTTTACTGGGGCCCCATTTGGAGCCTTGGGGGTCTGGGTTCTTCATTACACTCCCCTGATGGATACAGACAAATCGTGGATTGAAGCCTCTTGGGGCGCTCTTGGGGCAGCATTGGAGCCCTCCTGGGCCCAAGTCGGTGCTATCTTGGGCGATCCTAGAGCCCTTTTCAGGCATCCAATGCCCATCGGAAGAGAAAAGATGATAACACACAAATCATTCCGTGACTGCCCATTAGGTGTGTGAATGATTTGGGATTATCGAGGGCGTCCTTAGGAGGCTCCGTATTCACGTGGAGGCAAGTTGGAAGTTCTCTTGAGCCATATTAGGCTACGTTGGGCATCTTGGAGGACATTTGGAGCTGTGGGGGGGGGGGCCATCGTGGGGCCATCTGAAGCCATCTGGGGCGATCTGAGCCGTCGCGATGTCCCCACAACCTGTCTCTCTCACTCCCACCCGCCCTCCCACCATGTAATGCAGCACCCGAAATTCAGCTTAAGAAGAGGTCGCCATCGGATGCACATAAACTGGGAACCAATACTGACGCCCAGGTGTGCCTGGTGCGCCACATGCACGACGCGCATATGGGTGCTCCATGTGCGCAAGTGTACGCGGCAGCATACATCGGACAATGCGTCGATGTCCCGACAATCCGTGTCAAGAACCATTGTAAAGTGGAGGCGGGGTGGTCAGCATGGCGCATGGTGTGTGCATCCTCGAAGAATTTGCATGCGCTTCTGACAGGGATTGGGAGGGGCAGCGCGCAGCGGACAAATATGTTCACCCTCCCTGCAGTCCTTATCAAAGACACATGCGAAGTGCTCACGGAGGTCCCGCTCACGATCCAGATGTTGCCGGCTCATGGTTCTTGGTTGGCGGCCTGTCGAGCGGGAGGGAATTATCAACCAGTAGAAGTGGCTAGCTTCTCCCCAAAGGGGAATGAAGGGGTTGGAAAAGAAGAGAAAAACAAAAAACAAAAAAACGAATTCGCCAAACCACCTAGGCCCAGAGTGCTGGTGGGGGTCTGGCCAGAACACGTCCCAGGAGGCGTCTGGGGGTCTTCGGCGGCGTCGTCGTCGCCGTTGGAGGAGGAGGAGGCGGAGGAGGAAGGAAGAGGAGGAAGAGGCGGAGGAGGGGTTGGACGACGACGACGAGGGGAGGACGAGGAGGAAGGCAAAGAAGACAGGGAGTAGACAAGGTTGAGGAAGAGAAGAAGCAAGATGAGGAGGAGTGCGAGGAGGAGGAGGAGGAGGAGGCTTAGCAGCAGAGAAGTTGAAGGGCGAGGAGGCTCCTCCTCCTCCTCCTTCCCCTTTTGCTCATTCTCTTATGACTATTGTTTTTGCTCGTCCCATTCCTGCTCTTGCTTATCCTGTTGATGGACGATGGCGATGACGCTGGCGGCCACGGCGAGGTTGGCGACAACGGCGGCCACCAGCGACCGACGACAGCGACGAGTGGCGGGCGGCGGCGCCGCCGCCAACGAAGCCGACGACGACGCCGCGGAGGAGGCGAGCGGGGCCGACCGCCACCTCCCACCAGCGCGGCCAGGCTCCTGGCTGGGCCCGCCCGGCACCGGGCCGGGGCCCTGCATGCCCCCAGGGCCACCGGGCCCTGGCGCCGACGCGTGGATGCGCGGGCCGCCTCCGAGCGATTGGGTTCCGCGGGGGGTGGGGAGGGGCGTGGTGAAGCGTAGGGGGGCGCGCTCAGGACTACCGTTGGGACGGTGGGGATGAGCTCAGGCGCTCATGGGGGGGGGCATCGGCTTACAATCGCCAATTCATCGCCGATAAGAGCCCGATGGCCCGCCCGGTTCGTTATCGGGGGCCTATCGCCGATGTATCGGCGATGTATCGCCGATTCAAGTGCGATGCTTCCCCCCCGCGGGAGGGTCCCCCCCGAACGTTGCTTCTCGGGGGGGGGGGGGACGAGGCGCAGGGAGGCTTTGTGGTCTGGAGCGGAAGGCACGAGCGCTGAATACGTAAAGGCAAAGTATGGTCCACCCAAGGTATAAGTACCCTAATGTTTTTCGTGTTTGTTGGATGTTATTGTGCATCTTGGGGAGGGTACCCTTGGATGTTCTGTGTTTTGGCCAGTGGAGGGTCTCATGTTCTTGAAGGATGTTCGTCTGTCCTAGGTCTGACTGTGAACCTGCGGAGGTCCGCGCGGACTTCTAGAGTCAGCGCTGGACCCCCTCCTCACGCCACTGGCGGCACCTCCGGCGACGTCCCCAGGGCGCTCCACTCACCAGGGAATGAGTGCAGGGGAGGGGGCCCAGCGCCGACCCGGGAAGTCCGCGCGGCCCTCCGAGAGCGCTTGTGTCGTTCTGCGGTTTCGGGCGATAGTGGATGCTTACGGCGACGGCAGGAAGACGACAAATTCGGGATGAGATAAATCGGAAATCGATGAGAGCCAGCTGATATGAAGGATATGTGACGGGCTCCGCGGCCCTTCCAGGACGTTCTGGATACCTCCGAGAGCTGTCTGGAACTTTCTGGAACGATTTATGTTCATCCTGTGCTTGCCTGAGTATTCGCCCCTCTCTCCTCCATTCCTCCATGTAGTACCCTCGGGCGGCTCCGTTTTGCGTCTCGAGCCCACTCGCGCTCTCTCACGCCTGTAGTCAGCGTTCCTGTGTCCGCAGATAGCTGCAAGTCAAATCCCATCCTTTCTTGGTTCCCCTCCCTCCCTCCATCGTCCATCCCTGTCTCCCCTCTCTCATCCCCACTCCCTCTTCCCCCTACTAGCTCCCTCCCCTGCCTCTTCCCTTTTCCTCCCCCTCCTTCCCCCTCTTCCCTCCCCTCGGCCCAGGGGGACCCCGGGGCATTGGGATTCTGGTCATGGGTCCAGCTTCGGCCACCGCCTGGGCCAGGTCTTTTCCTTGGAGGGAGATGGGAAAATGAGAGGGAGGCGGAATAGAAGGGATAGGAATCATGAAGATGACGAGACTGATGAGGAGATAGAGACGACAGCGCTCGGGACGGAAGCTGGAGATCGACGGTGCCAATGTGATGAGGCCCAGAGTTTGCTGTGAATGTGGTCTGTTTCGCAAGGACTAGAAACTAATCGCGCGCGCTGTTCTAGTATATATATATATATATATACATACATATATGTTCATACATATATATATACACATGTATGTGTAATGTGTCTGTATATGTAATAAATGCATATGTATGTGTAGTTGTAGGTGTAGGTATAGTTGTAGTTGTAGTTGTATGTGTATGTGTAGTTCTAGTTGTAGTTGTAGTTGTATGTGTATGTATGTGTGCACGCATGTATGTGCGTATGTAAAGTTCTATCTGTGATTGTGTATACGTGTTGCCATACCGTACCATAGTTTCATTGCTGTGTTGTGGATCGGGTGGGGCCGTGGACACTCATACTGAAGCCATTTTCCCAGCTAGGGTGGAGCGTCGGTTCAGGTGATCGCGGATGGTGGGCAAAGCCTCCGTGGTGCTCCTTGGCGCGGCGTCCAACCTGCTGGCGGCCTGGATCGCGAGGGTGCCCCCGTGCCCTGCCGCGCCGTCCTGCCCGGCGGCCCCCGCCTGTCCCGCGGCGGCCTGCCCCAACCTCTCGTGCGGGCAGGTGCACTGCCGGGCGTCGGAGCAGCCTCTGACGTGCCAGGCCCTAGCGCCTGCGGCGCCACCCGCGGGGCCGCCGTCCGCGGCGCCTGCGCCGCCGCCTGCAGAGCCCGCCGAGGGCTGGGGCGTGAGCTGGATTGTTGGGCTCATCGTGCACTGCGTGCTGGCCGCCTTTCAGCTGGGCCAGGCTCTGATTCGTACAGCGCGCGGGCTGCTGCATCCGCTTCTCCGTCGCGGCGACGGCCGGCTAGGCGGCGCCCTCCGCAGGCGTCCTGCGTTGGGCATGGATGCTATATCGCGGCGAGCGGCTGTGGCATCAGCGTAGGGCCTGGGGCAGGTCAGCGGGTCTTCCAGCGGGGATTAGCGACCCGCTCGACTTGCTGATCTCCGCCCCAGGCCTCGAAGTTTTCCAGGAGGGCTACGCGCCTGCGTCGGCGGACATTGTCGCGGTGACGTTCGCGGCCACCCGGCAGGCGCCGCAAGGAGTGGATCCGAATTTGCCGTATCGGTTCCGCCGCGAGCCGAACGCCGCCGAGACGTCGGGCATCAGCGACGCGCTCGGCGAGGTGGCCGAAGGCCTGTACCTTGCGCGGGAGCGCGCGGCGGGGCGGCTCTTGTTCGTTCCAGCGGGCGGCGCCGACGTTCGACTTCGCCAATGCTGGAGCCATCGTCCCAGGACCGCCTGCTGCCGCCGCTGGCGCTGGTGCTGCTGGAGGCGGAGCCGCTGCCGCCGCGCTAGCTGGAGTGGCAGGCGCTGGAACCGTCGCTGCCCCCGCGCCCGCGCCAGCCCCCCTCGCGGCCCCGCCTGTGGCTGCTGCCGCTGGCGGCGCTGGGGCGGCCCCGCCCGCGCCTGCGGTGCCTGGGCCGGCTCGGGCGCTGGTGGGGACCGCCAGCGCAGGCCGCCGCGGCGCCCTGGTGGCGCTCAGCGGCTCGGAGAAGCTCGAGGGTGACACCGGGCCATCGCCTCAGGGCGCGGGCTGGGTGGCGATCCGACGGATCCCCATGGGTCCCGCGGTGTACATGCGCGCGGAGAGCGGCGCGGACATTCGGTTTCCTGGCGGTGCTCCTCGTGCTGATGGACGCCGCGATCGCCCGGCCCGGCGAGACGCGGCGCCGCTCCCGGTGGAGAATACCATCCCAGGATGGTTGCTGGACGGGCCGCGGACTGCGCCGTGGTGCGCCGAGCTTGTAGACAGGAAGAGGTCTGGGCCCATGGAGCAGTTCTCGGCCTTCGCGGCCTTCTACCACCTCTCGAAGGACGACTACGGGGTGAGCCACAACGAGAGCATCATGAAGATTATTGAGCACCCCGGCTGCTGGGACCAGCTCAACCTCCCCGACCTCGCGGGAGTCGAGCTGGCGGCGCGGCGGGCGCAGCTGCACGAGTACACCTACTCCATGGGGCACGAGGCTCAGCAGGCCAAGGGCGCCAGCGGCGCGGCCAGCGAGGGCGGCGGCAAGAAGAAGGGTGGCCGAGGCCGCGGTGGAGGCCCCCACCGCTTCGGCATCGTGGGCGAGGCGGCGGCATTCACGGGGGCGGCGAAGGAGGACGGCCGTTCGATGATATGCCTGTTGCTGGAGCACGTCTCCAAACAAGTGGAGCGCGACGCAGGGATACTGAAGCAGATCAGGAAGGCCCGTGAAGAGCGTCGCGCTCTGCCATCATGGGCGACCCTATCGGCGCTCGGGGGCCCCTCGCCCGAGCGTCGACCAGGCCGAGAGAGGGGGGGCGCCCGTGGGCTTCGCGGGCGCAGCTCAACTACTTGTACATGAGGCGTTTCCACCCGGCAGCGACTGTCGCCAGCGCGATCTCTTCCCTTTTCCTCGTCTCGCTGCTGGGTCTCAGCCATCGCTGTCTTCAGCCCCGCTTTCTCGGTCAGTCCGACGGCGCCCCGAGAAGCGCCCCCACTCCGACGGCGCGGTCAGCGAGATGACCGACGCGCTGAACGAGCTGTGGGGCGCGCCGCTGGACGAGCGCGGTCAGGCGCCTTCCAGCACTTCGACGCCCACGGCTGGCCACGACCAGGTCTTCGCCGAGCTCAGGCAGGCCGCGCCGAGGATTGGCCCGTGCCCCGAGGATCTGGGCGGCCCAGGGGCCCTTGCGGAGCTCCAGATATTGCAGTCATACGAGGGCAACGCCACGATGGTTGCACCCGTGAGCTTCGACCTTGTCGACTCCATCTCCGTGCCTCCAGCGGGCCGTCGACCGACGGCCCTGGGGCGTCAACGAAGTGGCGGGCCGGCGCATTGCTCGCCGGCTCAGAGACTGGCTTCTGCCCCGACAGTTGGGGCCGGAACGCGCGCGGCAGGCAGGTCCGCGGCGATTCCACGCGGGCCCTGCCCTCCGCCACCCGCGCCTCTACGCTAATGTGGCGTGCAAGCTGATGGCCGCTGGGCTCGTGGACTTCCGCGGTTCGGCAGGGCGTTCAGTCGGCCTGTTCTTCGTCAAGAAGAGGAACGGGCAGCCTCGCATGATTCTGGACGGCCGCCGCGCGCCCCCCCCCCGCTGCGACGCGGCGGGCCCCGTGGAGCTGGCGACCGGCGCAGCCTTTTCGCAGATCTCTGTGGGCGGCGACCAGCCCATCGCCCTCGGTGGCGCGGACATCTCGGGCGCCTTCTACCAGATCGAGGCGCCGCCGTGGCTCGGGCGCTTCTTTGGCTTGCCGCGGCGGCGCGCGGGCGAGGCGGGCCTGGGCCGCCTGGCTGGCGGGGCGTCGGTCAAGGCGTCGGCCCCGGCGGTGCCTCGCGTCAGGCGCCCGCCCACGGGTTCTAGCATCAGCCTGTGGATCTGCCATAGTCTCAACGAGGGGGTCACCGCCCGCGCCCTTCCTGGCCATTTTGGCCGGCGCCTGGTGGACCGCCGCCATGCGCCTTCGCCGTCGGAGGGCATGGCGCGCCCCGTGCACGCGGACAACTTCCTCGCTACCCCCCGCTGCCTGGGCGAGGTTCGCGGGGCCGCCTCGAGGGCGCAGGCAGTGATGGCGGCTTCTTCTTTGCCGACTCACCTCGTGGAGGCCCCCGCGGGGGGTGGCCCGCCGAGCTGGCACTTCGACGAGGCCGAGCCCCTGACGGGCCTGCGCTCGCGGCCGCGGTGGCGCCCGCGGCTGGGCGTCGGCGAGATCCTGGAGCGCGGCTGACGCAGCGGCCACGCTACGATGAAGGTGGTATCCCACTTGACCTTGCGGGCCCTGGTCCGCCGCGAGCTGCTGAGTTGCCTTGGCGCGACGCGCGGTCGGGGAAACGGTTCGCCGATCATTTGTTTGACGAGCGCGTCCCAGATTTTGACGGCCTCGTTTTCGCGGGATGTCTGCAGCGGGGGCCCGCGCCAAATTGGGTCTCGTCTTTTTGACGATGGCCCCCGCCGGGCCAACCCGAGCCCCCCGCGCCCGAGCCCCACGTCTCCCCGGCGCAGCTATACGGGCGAGGGCGCCCGCGAGCGGCGGCGGCCGCCGCTGGCAGTGGGGCGGGAGCTGAGATGGCGCCGCGCCTTGCTGCCCCCTGTGTTCCCACGACGCTGGCCGGCCGCCGTCGCCTATCGCATCTTGCGCGGGCGCCTCGTGGTGGGGCGCTGGTGACGGGGGGGGGTTCTTTTCTTTTCGAGCTCATCGCCTGTCCAGCGGTCGAGCAGGACTGGGGGGCGCCAAGAACAAAAAGTGAGAATTTTGTAATGCGCGGCCTCCGGCAGGAAGCGGAGGTGTTCGACGAGGTCTCGGAGAGCGCCTGGGCAGAGGTGCGGCGCCGCATATTACGTGCGCCCGGAGGCGCAGGCGACGTCGGATGGGAGGGCCCTGGTCTTATGTCTCCAACATCGTCTCAGAGCGTTTCGAGAGTTCAACGCGGCGCACATCATCTCATTAAACGACTCGATGGCCCCTGTGCTAGCAGTTCTGATCAAGGGCAGGTCTTCTTCGCCCCCGTCTCTGGGGATCCGCGGCGAGGTCTGCGCCTCTTTATTGGCCTCAGGCAGTGCCGGGATCTGGAGGCGGCCCCCCTCGGAGCACAACAGCGCAAACCGATGCTGGAGACGTTCCCGAGTCTGCGCGGTGGCGACTCGGCGCCGGAGCTGATGGCGGCCCCTTCTGGCCTCGTCGGCGCTGGACGCCATGGCGGGCCACCCGTCAGCCCCGCGGACCCGCGAGCGCCCTGCGGCGGCACATGCTGCCGCGGCCTCGCCGAGGGCGCCGCGGCGCCAGGGCGGCGGGCAGCCGCGCCCGGCCTCCGCGCGCCCGCCCGGCCGGGAGCGACCAGCGGGCTGCGCGGCGGCGAGAGCGAGCCTCGCGGCTCCCAGCCTTGCCAGCATCGGCCCCCCGCCAGGGCTTGACCTCCCCGGAGGTGAACTCGGTGACCGAGCCGACGCGGGCGGACTGCGAGCGGCGCCAGTCGGCCTTCTCGCGGCGGGCGAGGCAGCGCGGCGCGAGCCTCGAGACGCCGCCCGAGGAGGTAGACCAGGCTTCGGCGCAGTTCTTTCACGAAGTTCTTGGACGGGGGCGAGAGCAGCGACGCCTGGAAGCTCACGGCGGCCTTGGCTATCAGCCGCCCGGAGCTGGCGACGCGCCAACGGGGGCTTCCACGAGCAGTCCGAGCGGCGAAACGCTGGTCACGCCTGGCGCCTCCGAGGTCTCGCCTGCCGCTGCCGTGGCCGGCGGCGCGCCTCATCGTGAAGGAGCCGCGCCGCCGCGGCCCGGCCGCCCACGCATGGCTGACGGCGCTGACGTTCGGGCTGGACACCCAGAAGCGCGGCCGCTGGGCGACAGACGCCGCGCCGCGACGCGGCGCCACGGGCGGCCGCTTCCAGGAGCAGCTCCACTGGCTGCCTCGCGCCCTCCAGCAGCGGGCGGGGCAGGGCGCGCCTCGGGATTGGCGCCGCCCCGCTCGCGAGCTGGCATCGCGGGTGAGTCAGGCGGGTCCTGGCGCGTTCCTGGAGGTGTTCAGCGGTCCAGGGCGGATGTCCGCAGCCAGGCGCCTGCTCTTCAGGGGCCAGCGCGCTGCCCTCGAGCTGGACACCAGCCACGGCGCCTGCAGCGACTTGTTGATTCGGCGGGTGCGCCTACTGCTTAGCGGCTGGGCGCGAAACCGCCTGATCGTCGCGATCTGGATCGCCACGCCCTGCCACTCCTTAAACCGGGCTCGCAACAGGCCTAATGGGCCGCCGCTTCTGCGCACTAGACAGTTCCCTTTCGGTTTGCCAGCGCTCTCGCCCAGTGAACAGTTTAGAGTGAAACGATCCACTTTCAGTGTTTCGCTCTTTCAGCTCGCTCGACCTTTGAGCATCCCCACCGTGATTGAGAATCCAAGCGCGTCTCGGTTGCGGCAGCTCCCTGGCGTTCATCATCTCACACGAATTCGCGACACTCGCGTGCTCGCTTTTGATTTACGCGCGTTCCGCGACCTTGGACGCAGACGCACCAGGCCATTGCACTGCCACCTCAAACTCGACGCCCTCCTTCGTTGCAAGCGTTCTGGCCGAGGAGCATGCTCCTTCAGCGAGCGCCCGCGCCAAGTGATTGAGGGCAAAACTGAGCAGCGTGATTTTGTGGGCGCACACCGCCGGGCCACATCCGAAGCAGATGCGTCGCATAGTTGCCAGGTGTGTTCAGCGGGCCTTGCGGAACCATTCGCTTTCAAGCCTGAACATATTGGCGGCCGAGAGGGTCAGATTTCAAGTTCGCCTTTGCTCGACGTTTTGTTATAATTCCAGGTCGTTTCAGGCTGCCGCCCAGCGCAGTCGCCGCGCTGCTTGCCTGCGCTGTCTTCGGAGCTCTGGGCCAAGCCCCCACGCGGAGTCACGGTTGCAAAGATTCTGGCCCCAAAGAGATCCCCGCATTGGCGCGCATTGCCGCGACGCGCCATCGTTTTTGTTGCTGCGTCGTGGATCGGATGGGGCCGCGGGCGCTCGCGCTCAAGCCACCCGCCCACGCTTGCGTTCCCAGCCCTTTTCCAGTTCGGGCACGTGTAAAGAATCAGTTCGCGCTTCCGCCCAGCGCAGTCGCCGCGCCGCTTGCCCGCGCTGCCCTCGGAGCTGCGGGCCGAGCCTCCACGCGGAGCTGCGGTTGCAGAATAGAGTCTGGCCCCAATGAGATCCCCGCACTGGCTCCGATATGTGTGCATGTATGCGCATGTGTGCCTAGTGTCCGCTGACCTCGGGGCCTAGGCGGCCGCTTTGTTCGCCGCTGTGACGTGTTCTGGGTGTCCTGCAAGGATGAGTGGCTCTGGCGTCTGATTCGCGCTTCGTAGCTTTGAGTATCGCTCGGTGTCGTTCGCCCCCCGCGCGGCCGTTGCTGCAGCCAGGCTCGATGCGCGGGTGGCGCCGCGCGCTGGTAGGCGCTGAGCTTGCTCGGTGATCGCGTAGGGTTTCCACGGGATCTTTCCGTTTCGGCCCCTCCTCCGCCTCTTCTTCCTCTTCCCAGCATTTTTGGTGCGTTTCGCGCGATAATTCGCGCCGTTCCGTTTTCCTTGCCAGGTTCCCGCGCTAGGCCGCGCGATTGACGCGCGGGTCAGCAAGGGGGATGATGTCTCTCATTTCGCCTCCGCCCCCCCTCTCCCGCAATTGCCCTGGGATAAATGCACGCGTGGATGCGTCGATGCACAGATGCATATGTGCGTGCGTGCTTAAAACAAAATGCGCCGACAGATGGCGGCTGGTCTACCATCGCTCACGCGCGACGCCCTGCCTTCGGAAATCGAGTGCAGTTTCTTCCGACAAAAGGGGCAGCAGCTGGGGGGTGCTGGGCTCCCGGGGCGGGCCACGTGCTCTTCCTCCTGTGCCTCGCCCTCCTCCTCTTCCTCCTCCTCCCCCTCCTCCTCCTCCTCCTCCTCCTCCTAAGCCCATCTGGTCTCGGCTGGGAGGGGGCCAGATCGCGGTCCCGCGCGATCGAGAGCGATCGGGCCGCCCCTGAGGTCGGGCTCGCGCGAGCCGCTCGGCGCCCCTGGGGGGGAGAGGCGCTCCGCGCCTCGCCAGCGCCCCCCACCCGGGCCCGATTGGCGGCCGCGCGCAGCCCCCGGCGACGCCGCCGGAGCCAGCCCATCGCAGAGAGCGCCGACGCAGATCCTCTGCGCGGGCGACGGCGCGCGCGCTCGACGCAGCGCAGCGCACAGGCTCCGGCAGCGCCGCGGCGCGCGGCAGCGGCGGCGCCAGCAACAGCACCAGCGCCATCGGGTAGTCGACCAGCACGACGCCGCGGGACGCGGAAAATACCGCGCGGGCCAGGGCAAAGGCAAGGGCAGGGACACTAGCGGCAAGGGCAGCCGCTCGGCGACCGACACGCGGCCCTGGTCAACCCGCAGATCCTGCGGCGCATGGCGCTGCGACAATGACTGAAACAAGTGGAACTGGACCTGCCCCTACTGCTGCAAGGTCAAGCAGCCCAAGAAGAGCGCCTCACTTTACTGGGGGGGCGGCAATTCCAAGGGCCGCGGCAACCAGCGGCATCAGGAGATGGCCAACGCCCTCAGAGGCATCGCGGAGCCCCTGGCGGGCATGGGCATCGCCAGCGGACCAGCCTGACAGCTGAAGGCGGTCGCCGACGGCTTGGCCCCGCAGGCGGGGAAGCCAGCCCGACCCCGCGCGCGGCAGCTCAGGAACGCGGCCGCGCGCCCAGAGAGGACCCACGAGAAGCACGAGCAGATCTACGAGGAGGTCAAAGCCACGCGCAAGCTGCTGGCCGAGCAGAATGCACACCTCATGGACTGTGTCAACGCCGTGATCGACACAGAGAAGGCAGTTGAGGACATCGCGGGAGTTCGGCCAGACACCGAAGTCAAGGATGCGAGCCAGCCGAAGGTCAACCTGATGCAGACCATTTTGGACCTGGGCCAGGAAGACCAGGACAGCTCTAGGCGTCGTGGACCACTTGGAGGATGATGAGGACTACGACCAGGACGCCCGCAAAGAAGTAGCAGACGCCAAGCGGCTTCTGCACCAGTCGCACAAAGACAACGCAGCGACATTCATGAAGGGCCTGCGACAATACCTGTAGCAAGCTCGAGCGACGGCCCGCAATAATCGCGGGGACATCAAGCAGGCAGCAAAGAAGCGGAAGGCCGATAGCGGAGCCCAAGCTGCGCCACCAGCACCGGCAGCAGCAGCAGCACCAGAGTCAGCACCTACGCCACCGCCACCGCGACA